GGTTTTGATCTATTCGAATCTAATGGATGTATTTTTTGTTTGAGATCGAATCAAAGTCTTTTTTTTGAAAATCAAGATTAAGTTGCATGTGGATTTATGATATGTTTTGTCTTGTCTTGATTATATTTATTAAAATATATTTATAATTAGTTATTTAATTTTATATTTATATATGTATTATATTAATAAAGATATTATTTAATCTCTTAATTTAATAAAAATATTATATCTATTCGTATTTAATATGTAATCCATTCATCCATTATACAAATTTTATTTATTTTGACTTTTGTTTGACAATTATTTAAGGTATCGACGTGTTATTTTATTTTATTTTATTTTATAATTTTAATTTTTTAATATAAATAAATTTTATAAAATAAACTATGTAAATGTTCACGTACCACCCAAATTTACTTTTTATCCTTTCGTTTTGTTTATTTTTTGATTAAATAAATTTTGAACAAAAAAAAAATAATGAATAGACATGAAAATATTTGTAATTTTTTAAAATATTTTTTATTTTTTTAATGTGGAGTCTATTTGATATTATTAATTAAAAATTTATTTTTCTTTTTTCCCATTTTTTAATTTGATAATTTAAAAAAAATGATATTATACAAAGCTTATTATTGCTAATGTTGCATGGTAACTCAACTTTTTTTTCTTTGCTTTTTCATTTTTTTATTTTTATTATGTTTTTTCTTCTTTTATTTTTATTTTTATTTTTTAATTAGATAAATTTATTAAAAAAAATCAACAGATATGCACACGTAACATTCTATTTCACTTTTGTTTTCTTTTCAAATTTTTTAATTTTTAATTTTCAATAGATAATTTACAACAAAAAAAATCGATAAATAAATTTTTTAAAAAATGTCAATGAAGATATAGATAACAAAACAATCAGTATATGATAGATTTCGATTCATCCAGATTTGATACATGCATTTTTTTATTTGAAATTTAATCAAAAATTTTTTTTTAAAATTCAAGATCGAGTTTGTCATAACGTATAGATCTATGGACTTACCGTTAAACATAAATTTTAGGGAGTCGTTACCAATCTTTTTTGTTTAGATGTGATTGTCCACCTAATCAAATTTATCCTATTTAAAAAAAAGTTTCAATATTAACTTAGGTATCTTTAAATAGTAGATTTTAGTCTAAAAAATCATATTTCAGATTCAAGAGTACGGTTACGCATAAGAAAAATTATAGCACCCTCACAACGCTTATCCAATGGATTATACTAATTTGATTTCAAATTATTTAAGCCTTAAACACGTTTATAATTTTTCAAAATATTTACTATTAAAAATTGATCTTAAAATTACTTCAATAGTTTTGTGACAATTTAAGATAATTTTTTTACCTCAAAATATTCATAAAGACTAATGTCTCACCCTGAAAAGGCTCCGTCATCAGATTTATTTAAATTTTAGTTAAAGAAATAATTAGTAAAATCTTTCAATAGTTTGATAAGATTTACTTTGATGCAGATCTTCTAATAGTTTGGTGAGATTTTATTATAAATATTTATAAAATTATTTTTTTTTTGAGAAAATTCATTAAATCTTTCAATAGTTTAGTATGATTTAACTTAAGATGCAATTCTCCAATAGTTTTGTAAGATAAAATATAAAATATTTTATTTGATTGCCTTATTTATGAAATTCTTCAATAGTGTGGTAGAATCTACAAAATTTAAATCCATGAAAAATCCTCCAATAATTTGGTAGGATTTATAAATTTATTTGAAAAGAGAATTTTTTTAGGCTGTTTTCTATAAATAATAAAAAAAATTACAAAATATTTTTTTTAAAAAATTGCTCAATTTAAATTAGTAAAATAATAAAAATAAAAAATAAAAATAAAACAAGAAAAAGCTTAAAAATGAAAATTGCAAAACAAATTAAAAAATAAAATAAAAAAAGAAAAAGAAAAAGAAAAAAACCTATGATCATGTCGGGTTGCTTCACAGCGACGTGTGGTTCCTAAACGGATTCAAGTAGATCTTGAGCTTTTAGAAACGACATTATATTGGGGATGTATAAAAGGACCAAAAATTGGTTTTTCCTTAGATCTACTTGAATACTTCTCTCTCTAGCTAGAATTTTTTATGGCTTCTTTCTAAAACTCTTTCAAATCAGTAGTCGAAAATTGGGCAACTAGCCAGTTTCTAAAAAATATTGTCGAAATCTAGTCAAAAAATTCAAACTTCGCTAGAAAATTCAATGAAAAAATTCAAATATTCAAACAAAAACCCATGTTTTTTAGATTTTTCCAAATTTTCCAAAAAAGTTTCAAAAATTCAAACTTAAACCTAAATCCAAAAATTCAAACTCTCAATCCTAGAACTTTGAACTCAGAAACTTCTAACCCAAAAATCTTTAAATCTAGAAATTTGAAATCCAAAAATTTTAAACCCAAAAACTTTAAACCTAGAAATATTTCATACCTTAAAAACTCTTACTCTTTTTTCTCTATGATTCTGTTCAATTTATAGCCAGTTTTGGGTAAAAATTTTAAGACTTGAACATAATCAATCAAGGCTAAAATTCTCGAATTGAATTTTGTCCAACATGATCTTAAGCCTAGGTTTTTGCAAATTTATTGATTGAAATCCCTTTGTTTCGATCCTAAATTGAAGTGTAGATTCGATTTCCTTTTTTTTTTTTTTTGGTTAACACAAATTAAGAAATAATAATAATAATAATAATAAACATTAGTTAACCCCCAGATACAGATGGATATTTACAGAGTCGAAGGTAGATTTTTTATTTTTCATATTATCTTGACTATATCTATTAAATTTATATTTTTAATTAATTATTTAGTTATATATATTTATTATATTAATAAATATATTATTTAATATTTTAATTTAATAAATACTATATTTATTAATAATTAAGATATAATCTATCAATCTATAATATAAATTTGACTAATTTTTATTTTTTAAGATTTCAACTTGCCATTTTTTTAATTTAAATAAATTTTATGAAAAAACCCATTTAGGTGCCCATGTGGACCCTAATTTACTATTTTTAAATTTTTTAATTAAATAAATTTTATAATAAAAGGAGTCAATTAATACAAATGACAAAATAATTCGATAAATTTCAACTTAATGAAACATTATGTAGTACTCCTAATGAGTTTCTCTTTTTTTAATTTTTAATTGTTATTAAAGTAATTTTGTAAAAAAAACTCTATGAAAGTGTCATATGACGTTTAATTTGACTTATTTTCTTTTAATTTTTTATATTTTTTAAATTAAATAAATTTTATAACAAAATTTATCCATTAATAAATTTTACAACAAAATTTATCCATTAATAAATATATCAAAATAATATATATCCGATTAATTTTGATCTATCTCAATTTGATAAGAAAAATTTTTAAAAATCGAGGTTAACTTGAGAAAGATAAAGTTTTTTAATGAAAAATAAGCTCAAGTCGAAAATAAATTTAGAATGTTTCATTTAGACCATTTAAAAATATATATTATTTATTTAATTATATATATATTATATTAATAAAATTATATTTCAGCTTAATTTAATAAATTAATATTTTAAGTTTTTTTTATGAGATGTCAATGTGACATCTTTTATGTGCTTTTAATTTTTTTCTTATTTTTTAGGTTTTTTATATTTATTTTGTTTTCCATTTTTTCGATCCTTTTATTTTTGGCATTTAATTTTTATTGAATAAATTTTATGAAAAAGTGGCCTTAATTTTTTTTATTTTTCTATTTTTATTCTTTTTTCATTTTTTTGTTTTTAATATTTTTGTATTAAATAAATTTTATGAAAAAAGTCAATTAAGGTATTTATGTGTTATTTTCATTTTTTTTTACTTTTTTATTAAATAAATTAAAAAATTCTGTGAATAAAAATTAAAAAAAATTTCACCCGCAAAAGTGCGTGATCATTTTTCTAATTTTTTATTAAATTCACTCAAACCTAATAAATTTTGTATTGAAATAATAATAGTAATAATAATTTGTTATTATATAAGGTCCGTCGTGAGGACCTTTCTGCGCAATATGTTAAATGTGAACACAAGGGGAGCCCCTATCCCCTTATAACGATGACGTCAGTCGAAAACAGCTCCAATTTACCACGTCATCTTCAACGTCATTCAAACGACTTCATCTCTCTCTATCTCTCTCTCTTTTTTTTTTTTTTTAAGAAGCGATTTCATCACTCTTTCTCTCTCCTTTTGTCAAAGCGAACGCAAAAAATGAAATTTCCCAATATCATATTTTCCGGACGTTGCTACCATTTTTAAAAATTTTTTTTACCCTTCTCTTGCCTCTCTTCCTTTCTCTTTCTATGTCTTCGCTATGTCCTTTCTCTTCACATTAACACAACAGCAAGAAAAATGAAAAATCAATTCCTCTCTGCGATCTTCCCCAGGTCTCCGTTTTCATTTCATTTTTATAAAGTAAATTGTGTAGATATTATTGGGTTTTCTTTTTTTCTAGGATCTGATTCGTGATCTTCCAGTAAAATACTCGTCTTTTTTTTTTTTCCCTTATTTTGTTAATTAAGAGTGCTTGAAATTCAAGCAAGTTGGTTTTTTTATCCCTTCATATGATTGTTTTCAGTCATGTGATTTGATGAAAATAATGCTATCAAAAATTGAATCTGGGATCTTCGGTTTCAGCATCTTTGTTGTATAGACTTATAGTATCAGTCTAAAGAATTGAAAAAAAAAAGACTCAGTTTTGTGTATAATTTGTTTCAATACTTGTTTTCTGAAAATCCCATATAGGATTAATTGTTATTTCTGATAATTTTGGTTTTTGTTGAACTTTTGTTTGGATTTGTACTCCGGTTTTTGTTTTTCTCTTTTTAATTAACTTCTAGATTTAGTTTTTCTTTTTTTTGGCTAGATCAATTGCAAGTGAAAGTTGGTTTTTTGGGACCAAAGTTTTGATCTTTCTTGTTCATGAATTAAGTAAGATTTTGACTAGGATTTTAATGGCTTATATATCTGAGCCATCATCTTCTTTGAGCTTCAGTTCATCTTCTCATCTATCAAATGGCTCAATTACTCACAATATGCCATCCTTTTCTACTTCTGAAACTGGGGCTAGCCTTGAAGTTATAAGTTTGACCAAGCTTAGTTCCTGCTTGGAGCAACTCCTTTTAGACAATTGTCCTGTTTTTAGTGATGCTGATATAGTTGTTGAAGGTGTTCCTGTTGGTGTTCATAGATGTATCTTAGCTGTTAGGAGTAAGTTTTTTAATGAGTTATTCAATAAGGCAAATGAGTCTTGTGAGAAAGAAGGAAAACCAAGTTATAACATGAGTGAGTTTTTGCCTTATGGCAAGATTGGACTTGAAGCTTTTCAGGTTTTCTTGAGTTATTTGTATACTGGGAAGCTCAAGCCTTCTCCTATGGAGGTGTCAACATGCGTTGATAATGTTTGTGCTCATGATGCTTGTCGACCCACCATTAATTTTGCCGTGGAGTTGATGTATGCATCATCGATATTTCAAATACCGGAGATGGTTTCACTTTTTCAGGTGAGTATGGGATTATCATGGTGATAGTTTTTAATTCTTTTAGCAAATTTATTTACTTGTCAAGAGCATCAGTTTTTAGTGTTGACTTGGTATAATGGTGTGATCTATTATGGTAATAGTTTTCAATATTCAGTAAATATATTGAATATGTACTCAATGAGTCCCTGTAAAGTTATATGTGAACTTCTGATATGGTGAATGCTTTAACAGATGTTGTCTTTGCATCGTTCAGTGACTATGTAAGAAAAGCTATTATGTTCACATGGTAATTGAAATGGAGAGACATGGATGGATTTTGGCCCCTAATTTACCCTGTAATTAAACAAGACTTTTGGCTTGAGCAGACCAAGGGAATGTCTACTAATTTCATTTTTGTATATATTTGCAGCGACGTCTTCTTAATTTTGTTGAGAAGGCTCTTGTAGAAGATATTATCCCAATCCTTGTGGTTGCTTTCCATTGTCAATGCAGTCAACTTGTTTCTCAATGTGTTGACAGAGTGGCAAGGTCAGATCTTGATGGCATCTCTGTCGAGAAAGAGCTTCCTTATGAAGTTGCCAAGAGCATTCGATTGCTTCACCACAAGTCTCCAACTGAAGATGAAGATAATGAGGCATTGGTCGATCCTTTGAGGGAAAAAAGAATCCTGAGAATACACAAAGCATTAGACTCTGATGATGTTGAACTTGTTAAACTACTTTTAACTGAGTCTGACATAACTTTGGATGATGCTACTGCCCTCCATTATGCTGCAGCATATTGTGATCCCAAGGTTGTATATGAGCTTCTTTCCCTGCATCTGGCGGATGTCAATCTGCGAAATTCTCGTGGTTACACAGTTCTTCACATAGCTGCAATGCGTAAAGAACCGTCAGTGATAATGTCACTTCTAGCAAAAGGGGCATCTGCTTCGGAATTGACACCAGATGGACGAAGTGCTGTTAACATCTGCCAGAGGTTGACAAGACCGAAGGATTATCATGCAAAAACAGAGCAAGGGAAGGAAACAAATCAAGATCGGATATGCATTGATGTTCTGGAGAGGGAAATGAGGAGAAATCCGATGGCTAGAGATGTTTCTGTTACTTCCCATACATTGGCTGATGATATGCACATGAGACTTCTGTACCTAGAGAACAGAGGTATTACTCTATGTGGGGATTTCCTGTGGCTTTCTATCTCGACTATTAGTTTATCAGATTGCATTTCCCAAAATTTCATTAAATAATGGAGTATAATTGTTGTAAATGTAAAATTATTGACGCAAGTAAAATTTTTTTTATGGATATGACATTTTCTAGATAGCTGTAATATGTCTTGACATGTGATGTTGAATTTGTGCAAATAGTACTGCGTGCATAAAGCTAGCCAACCATGTCCTGGAAAAATAGTACTTTCATGTTCTTTTCTTTGTGAATAATACTTAGGAGATTTTGAAGTGTTAATAAGATAGATGGTAGTTTGAGTGTATTCATGAAAAAGCCAGATACTTTCCAATATGCGTGTGGTTGAAGATTGCATAATGATTGCTAACCATGATATGGATGCACCTTTTGCGGTAGTCATCATTTTAGGACAAGTAATGCCGGAACACTAGCTGAGCTAAAGGTTTTAGATCATATATATATGGTCTTTCATTTATGATGTCCCACCAAAAGGCTCTGTTTGTTAATTGAAAAAGTATGATGTAATGAAATACTTGGTAAAAGTGAGGCTTCCTCTCATTTGACTTTTAGATTGACTCGTGCATGCAAACGTTTTCTCCTTATAATTTGGTTTAAGATGTAGTTTGGTTCTTTTGATTTATCTACTTAAGCTTAAAAACGCATTTGATTCATTATGAGATCATATTCTTCAGAGGATTAGCTCTGAGCGATGTTGCCTATTGCAGTGGCATTTGCAAGGTTGCTTTTCCCTAGTGAAGCAAAACTTGCCATGGACATAGCACATGCTGAGACAAGCTCTGAGTTTGCTGATCTTTCATCAAAAGGTTCAAATGGAAACTTAAGGCAGGTTAACTTGAACGAGACGCCCATTATGCAGAAGGAAAGACTTCTTGCGAGGATGGAGGCCCTTATGAAAACAGGTGATTGAAAGCTTTAAATGTCCTCATATTTAGATCTTCCATTCCTATTCAGTTTGTTACTATTGTGTTAAACTTTTACCATTGATGCAGATTACTAAGAAATATACTGTTGCCCACTGACTTCATAACAATTCCGGGATGTTGTCATGAATAAGTTTTTAATATTGAGCACTAATTAAGAGCTGTTGCCATCCCCATGTTGAAAATAAGAGTTCCCAAAAATTTTCTGCATCTTTTATTTTCATTCCGCTATGAGTTTCTGGCCTTAAAATGCCAGATTACTTCTGCATTCCAGAAAACTATCATGTATTTGACTTTTCTGTGGTCAATCTAAATCACATGATTCTTCTTTTCAAAGAAGTGCAACCTCAGGAGATATAAAATTGTTGGAAACTGAAACAGCAAAATTTCTTGGCACATCTGATCATTGTGATTATTTCACAGTGGAGATGGGTCGGCGCTATTTCCCTCATTGCTCCGAAGTGCTAGATAAGTTCATGGAGGATGACCTTCCTGATTTGTTTTACCTTGAGAGGGGCACCCTAGAGGAGCAAAAAATAGAGGGATCACGCTTCAGGGAGCTTAAGGAGGATGTTCAGAAGGCATTTAACAAGGACAAGTCTGAGTTTAGTCGCAATGGGTTGTCTTCATCATCATCGTCATCTTGTTTAAAAGATGTTGGCCCTTATAAGCTCAGAAAATTGTGAGAAATGTAGGTCGTGTCTACAATAATGATAATGATCAGAAGCAAAATGCTTTATAGTTTAGACAAAGGTTTCTCGTGAAAGAAAGTGCTTGCTGCTTCTGTCTATTAACTTTGAGCCTGGAAAACTTGTTCTATAACCTATCCCTTGGTGATAAAGGTAGCAAAAGTTACATACCATGAAAATGTTTATAGGAATGTTATGTTCTTTATTGACTTGGAGAACTATGATAATAGAAAATTTCAACTGATTCATTCACCTTACCATTTTTTTTTTCATTTGCTGCATTTCAATCATAAGAGCATGATAATGATAACTAAAATGGAGTTATATTCTTGTTTATATGAATTCATACAAATGTTTATCCTTCTTTTGAAGAATGGGGTGGCGATTCAATATGTAAGGATGCGACAGTTTTCTATACCCCAAAGATAGTTTCTTCATAATGGGTGCCATTTTGTCACTGAATTGCAGATGAAGTATTGTCCTGTTTGAAGGTGGTGATTTGTTGCGATTGAACTTTTATCATTGAAATTAAGAATTTAGTATTTTATGAACACATTACACACCTGTAATATACACAATAAAAAATGTCTTTGACGATCGTACCATCCCAAGCAACATCAATGGCTGAACGTGAGTTCGTGTAATTCATAAATAAAATAAGATTAAAAAAAAATTATAAAAATGACATGATTTAAAAGTCAAGCAAAAATCGTATATAGGTTTAAAATAAATCATAAAGTATGTTTGATGTTTTCAGTATGGATTAAAATTGTAACATGTAATTTTATGTAAAATAATGAATTATCAATATTTTATATAACATGAACACACGAATTGTAACATTCAAGCTATCATCTTTAACAAAATTTTTTGGCATCTTCATTCATGTGTTTAGCTGATCAGTTTGCAAGCCTTTCTCACGTATAGTTCTACTTCTTCCCATGCTGATTTTGCGTGATGGTGTCCTTGACATTGTTCCACAATTACTGGCACTAAACAATTCCAAAACTTCAACAGATACCACCTAAAATGTGAACTCCTGTTTTTGGTGAGCGTATCAGATACCTGCAAAAGTCTTTGATCTGTACAAAAGAATAAATTGCATCAGAAATATTTTTTTGGCTTTAGTAACGTCATCTGGTAGTAAAGGAAGAATTGTTGGCTTAGCAAAGAGGAATCCACCTTTCATGCTGCAATTTTATCCGTTCAATAAAGAATGGGGGCTCCTTTATTCTGCACTTAAGATTACCATAGACATGCAATCATCCGTTCACCATGCGTCCACTGTTTCTAACATTGTTTAGGCAATTGAGTCAACGAATCCATCTCCGGTGTTTTGATCATGATTGGATTTAAAAAACTTGGATGCTAAGATACATACTGTTAACATATACTATATCTTTTGTGAACTATATTTGACACGCAAAAGCACAGCAGAGAGTAAAGCTAAGGAGATCTGCATCCAATCCGCAAATTATCTGTTTTAACATTAAAGTTTCATGGTTTTATTCTAAACAAATACCTGACTGCATTTAAGTTTCTATGCATGTATCATATCTTCAAAATATTCCATTTTGTTACAAAAAGCTTTTAACCTGTCACATAGCAGCAGCTTGGGATGTTGATGGGGGATAAATAAGCCCAACAAGCAATTACTAATCAATATAGAACTAAACCAACGTTGCCTGGTAAAGCTTCCAAGGGTGGAACGGAGGTGGAAAATCCTTCAAAACCTCAAGCCCTGTGGAACAAAAGACGCTATCTCCAAGGTTTCAAATCCATCCATAGATGATTTTGGTTTAAAGACAAGTCTAGAACTCCGAACATGTCTAACATTCAGTGCAACAGAACTGGGTTCTGAATAACATTGGATTTATCACAGACAACAGGAGAAAAAACAACAAAGTCGTCCTAATGGACAATCATTTTAGACAACTTACAAACCTTTCTACTGATTCTGCCTATAAACATGGCAAGTTAAAGATAAAGACAAAAAATTTAGCAAAAGAAGCTAAACTGAAATTGGTTTTTGGGGAGAAACAACAGAAAATATTTGTGGTTTATCATTTAAATTGACAAAAAATTTTTGATGAAAGTAAAACTTAAGCAAATACTTAGTTGGAGGCGTGGGCCTTGAAACTGTCACCAACCCTTGAAAAGGAGCCCAATAAAACTTCATTATAAAATTTCAATCAAAACCCAACTTGGCAGACTGGTTGGTCTGGTTTGAATTTAACTACTTTCATACTCTTTTTCTTCTAGGATAAGTTAATATTCTTTCAATTTTGTGATAAAGCCTAATAAAATGTTTCATGTTCAAATTCTCTCCTTCATAACTGTAATATTGAGGATGTAATTGCTGTAAATGGTGAAAAAATATATATAAAAGATTATTATCATTAAAGCTACCAACTAATTTTTAACATAGCAAAGAGAAAGGATTTTGATTATATGGTCCAAATTTTTACCCTGAATTCAGGTTTTCCGAAGCCTAGTAATTATGGCAGCTAATATCCATCAAATTAACTTCACTAAATATACGTAGAAAAGGAAAAATGTTCTACATGAGTAGTTTTTTTTTTTTTTTTTTAATTCTTAAACTACCTTAACTTCCTTTCTCTATTTATTTAACTCTCACATTATGGGCTTAAATACGTTTTAAACTTAGAACCTTCGAGAATTTATACTCAATTGGCTACTATATGAAGTGTTTTTATGCTTAAAAAAATCAATTGCTATCACAAATATTGAAAACTTAAAGAATATGGTGAAGGAGTCGCAAATTCTTTCTTTCTTTCTTTGTTTCTTTTTTTTTTTTTTTAAGTATATAATCTATGATGAAAGTATAGGATAAAACATTAATGAAATAAGCTCAAAACAAGTTTTTGGTTGCCAAAGTTTCTTTCTACTCATTCAATTTTATAAATAAAACGTATAGTAAAGGAAACTTAACTGGAGAAAGAAGTCAGTTTCCAAATGCACCAAAGATATGAGTTGGTTGGTTGGGCAAGTCATGTGCTTCTTTTTTATTTTCAACAACGAAAAAAAACCAAGTAAAACAAGGAATGATTATTGCATTCTCCTAGCTAACTTAAGAGTTGCTAAGATATGAAACATCTTGATATCGAAAGCCCAAGGAAAGGATGGGGCAGCCAAATAAGAATCATAATCAACTCGTGGAACTCGTTTTCACTGCCGCAACATGCTCCATGCTATAAGATTTCCTTCAATGCTTTATTCAAGAAGATTGTATTTTTTAAAAAACTTTTTTGGTATAAAGAAGGTTGCAGTCTAAGAATAATGAAATACATTACAATACTGAAATTTAAACTTCATACTTATTAATGTTACATCAAATAATTATATGAATCAATTAAATTAAATTAAATTAAATTATTATGTTTTATTACTTCAAAATTAAATGAATTTTTGAACATAAATCAACTCATATGAAATCATTTGATTTCAGAATCTTGATTTTAGTATTGAGGTAAGATCTGTTGGTCTAGATTAAACTTATAGCAGTATTAACAATGATGAGTTAGGATAAGAGAAATTTGGGTAGAAAACTTTGAATCTTAGATTGAAGCTCAATCTATAGGCATTGTATATATTGTCTTCTACTATTAATAAAGGGAATATTTTAATTTATTGTTCATAAAAGAGGACAAACTGTTCACAGCTTAAAGAAATCTGTCCAAGGCAACACTTTTTTTTTTTTTTACATAAGATGGGTATAATCCGTGAGAAGAGGGGAAAAATTTTTAAGTCGAAAACCAATATTTTTACGTCTTCCTAAGAGTTCTTTAGCCACAAGACCAAAGAGTTGAGGACAAGCCAAAAATATTTGCATATCAGCCCGAAATCCTACTCTGTTAGAATTATGTAAAATTTAGATGAACTAAATTGGACCACATGATCATTGATCTTTTGTTACTTACAGTACACTATGATGCATCAAATGATAACTCTCTTATATTGTCCCGTCCCGATACCAAAACGTAACATGATCATATTATTTTGATGTAAACCCTCAAAATAATACGAAGTTTTGTTTCTTAATTATTCTAAAATTTTTCAATAAAATAATTTATCAAATAAAATCTATATATTTAATCCAACTAATGATATATCTCTTCATATCCAAATACAAACTATATAAAATAGAAAACCATTAATAATATCTCATTAGTCAAAATTGTCTCTAACAATTAAGTAATCTTTCTCATTTTGATCTTCTAGCTTCTTACAAAATTAACCAAATTTATCATTTACTCATCTGTAAAGAAAAAGTAAAAGGGGAATGAGTAAACCATAGCTCAACAAGTATATGTTTATACATTTTACTGGATCAAGCATCTTTTTCATACATCATTTAAAACATTCATCAAATCATAATGTCAAAATATTTCAAAGATTATCATTTTGTTAAATATTTCGTAAATTCATAAATAAATGTTAAAACATGTCAATTCATAAATTATTGCAAAATATGCTCTCATTCAAATATTGTAATCAAATCAAATCATTGATCAATCATTAAAAATCATTGAAAATCATCATCATCATAAATCATCATTATCATTCGTTTATCGTTAGTTACAATCACTGCTATAATCCATGACATTGATCGTATCGATAGTTTTATCATCATAATCATTTCTAACTATTATAACCCGTTAATTAAGACCTTACGCTAACTACTATAACCCGTTAGCATGGTCGTATGATCATAGCTATACTAACTACTATAATCTGTTATCTAAGACTGTAGAACTAGTTCTAGTATTGATGATCCCACTTCTCAGGGATGTAAAAACGTAACTATCGTAAAATAATTCTTTAAACATAAATCATTTTTTTCATTTCATTCATAAGCATGATCTATTGTTTATATAGAGAAATGCAAAATAATTATATGCTTGATCTTCTTTTCATACATCGAAAATAATGAAATAAAATATTCATTCATTTAGAAACATACATATATACATAAATTAAAAAACAAACAAAATATGTGAGATTCTACTTAGCTCATTCTGATTCCACCACTTAATTTTTTTCCTCCAAATAATTAACGTCTTATTCAAGATAATTTCAATATAACAGTAATTAATCAACCCACTTTTGAGACAAATGATACCAAAAACAATTAAGTTAAATAAAAGTTAACTCAACTAACTAATATTGACAGCCTGATCTCATTTTATTAAAATGACCATATCTCAATATATCCAAATTAAAATTAAGATCTCTTTAATATGTTAAAAACTAAACTTAATAGGCTTTCTGACCATATATGGCCTATCTTGTGATTTTTGTGGATTAATTATAATAATTTTTAAAATCCATGTCTAATAAAAAATTATACATTTATTCATAGAAAACTCTAAATTCAATTTTGCTTATTTTGTTGAAAAGTAGACTCGATGAACTTTTTAAACACGTATGGCTCAATACATAATTCTTTGTATAAAAATTAAGAGGAATTTTGTAATTCCTCTTTGCTGTTGCTACTAGGTAGCCTACACATCTTTAAGTAAATATTAAACTACTCTTCATAGAAATTTCAAAATTGACTCCTATTTATTTCCTTGGAACGTAAATTCAGCAAGCTTTTCAATGATATATAATAATCATAGTAGTATTTTATCCCTTAATATAGAATATTATCCTAATCCATCACTGCAAACATTAAGGTTCATATCAAGTTTCGTACAAAATAAAAATTTTTCTTTCTATCCCCATCAAATTTTTATTTTTTAGTTTTACAGCAATAAAATCACATTATCAAACTTTCTCAATGCTTAATTAGACCATAATTAAAGTATAAATTATTTGCCCAAACTAATCTTGAAGAGGGATAATGGAAACCCTACAATTTTAAGATTTTTTTATTACAAATTACACCTCAAAACTTAAAAATCAATACTCTAAAATTGAAGAAAATTATTTACACACCTCTAATAGATAATTTATCTTGTAGATTTTGTTGTTATTCTTTACTTGGGATCCTTCGATTTGTTTTTTTGGTATAAGAAATAGAGGAGAATTAAGCTTGTATTTTTCTTTTGATTAGTCATCGATTAAAAATTGTAGAATAAGTTAATCCTATTAAAAAATTAAATTATTTATCAATATGTCATTTGTATTTTTCATTCTTTATTAAAAAATTTCTCCACTTATAAAAATATTTAAAACAGTCTTTTTTTTATGGGTATTACATATATCATGTCCAAACATTAATATATATATATATATATATATATATATATATATTACAAAAGAGGTCGTTGGAGTGAAGAAAGAATTCTAAATGTCGGAATTTAAATTGTAAACCCATTAAAGGTCAATTTAGTTTTGCTATTGCAATTATAAAAAAGTTTAGATTAAAAAAGTGTTTTTAGAAAATGAAATAAGAAAGTGGGATTAAAACTTTTAAGTATTTAATAGTGTTATGAAAAAAGTGTTATGAGTAATTAAAATATCTAAAAATATATACATAAAATAATAAAATATTAAAAATATAAGGTAATGTAGTGATATTTTTATTATAAAAATATTTTTTCATCTTAAAAGTATTTTTTGAGTAACTTTTTATGTTTGAGTTACAAAACAAATTTTTAAATTGAAAAGTCATTTTTTTTCGTTGTTTGGCATTTAAGTTGTATCAAAAGCAGATTTTGAATACAAAAATTATTTTCAATAATAATATTAAATTAAATTTTAATATTATTTTTAAAAATAATTATATAAATTAATCGAATTAAATATTATATTGCACCAATCATTTTTCCTACCACATTACAGTAGCAAATGGAGTAATTATATGAAGTAGATATAATAAAGACCTACAACATTTGGGTCGTAACATTTATGATGAGTTTAATTTCATGCAACTCAAATAAATTCAAAAAATTTGAATAAAAAATATAAAATTTATCATAATTTTTCAATTCACAAATGCCAAAAATTGTTATATTTGATAAGATAGGATTTATGGAATTATACATATATTAACAAAATCCAAATTCCAACATATCCGCAAAACAAGTCACACATTACTTTTTTTTTTTTTCTCTTATCCCCAAGGATAAAATTGCTGCAACCTCCACTCTTTTAAGGCCCCAAACCAACCAAAAACTAGATACAATCGACTTATCGTCCAATCCCTTCACCCAAGTATCCACATCCACTGCCCTTTGCCTTCTTCTGGTCCCTTTCTTGAATTTTGTGTATCTTTTTCCATTTATTTTGGTTTTGTTTTATTTATTTAAAATCCTTCATTTATTGAGTTGCTTGGACATTCGAAGTAGTCTTCCCACATTGATTAAACATCATGGTTGGTGCCACATTTCTTTTTCTTGGGTATCCAAGTATAGGATTTAATTTTCCTTCTTTCTACCTTATATTTTGGTTTTGAGCTTTCTTCTTTCGTGGGTTGTTGTTGCCTTTTGTGTTCATTGAAAAGCTTTGGTTTTCTTCTCATGGCCATTTGTTTTTTGCTTTGATAACGTCTTTCTTTTTATTTGCCATTTTGTCAAGTGCCCATTATCTTTTTGCTCCATATATTTGGGTTTTAAAGTTTTCTCCTTTCTGAGTCTCAGGCATTGATTAACCTTCGTTTTTCTTCAAGCAACCATTTTTTTTATGGTCCGTGGTCTGAAGTTTCTCTTCTCTCTTTCAAAGATTAGTTTTTTTATCTTCCCTTTAAATACCCACCTGCATTTTGTTTGGATTTCATGGTTTCTTCTTCAAACATGTAGGCCATGCTTATGGTAAGCACATTTATCTCCTTTCTTAGGTTCATTGCTCCTATTATGTTACCTTTGATCGCCTTATGTTGCTTTTCACGCCAATGTTAATTAGGTGTTTTGGATTTCTTCAAATTTCAATGCTTTTTCATTGTATTTACATTTTCTTATCTGAAATGGAAATGTTTATTTGTATTTAGTCTTGCCATTATTTGCTTTCTTCATTTTAATTAAGCTTTCAGAGTTTTGGTTGGTTTCTTGTTTGCTTCAACTTGACTGAATTGAAGTTGTCTTTAATGGGAAGATTTTATATCTGATATTTCTTGGACTACGATGGAAATTGGTATCTCTTTTGATTATTTATCTCCTTGTAGTGTTTGCGTGTAGACTATATGGTTGGTGGTGTTAGTATCAAATGTCGAAACTTCCTCAATGTCAATTTTCTTCTTTAGAACTTTTATTCCAAAATTGACATGATTGAAGGTTTTCTTTTCTTTTTTTTCCTCACTACCTTTTTGTATTTGTTATGGAATTGATGAATGAAGGAGGGACGAAACTAGGAGCAGGTACTTTTGTTACTAAGGAGATTTTGAGATTGCAATATGACATTGCTGCCTAAACAGACAGTTTTGGCCATAAAGTCTTATCAAAATCAGGCTCAGATGTTGGTTAAGAACTACTTATTGGCAGATCCCTTCATTCCATACACTTCCATCCTTGTTGGCATTCTTGCTTGCAAAGTGGTGTACTGACTTTTTGCCCCTAGTAATTATGTTTAGCTTTTGAATTCAGAATCATTGAATCCCAAGACAGGATGTTTCCTTATGCCCTCAAATGAATTGCAGGAATGAATTAATGTTTTTTAAATTAAATCATATCTATTTTGACTATGTTATGTGATTACATGGGTGCATTTCCCTTGGTCTGCTTTATTGAAATTCAGTTTACATGTTTTTCCCCATACCTCAGGCCTATGATCTTACCCAGTTAATCAGCAGCTTTTATGTCAAGACTTATCCTGGTCTTACTAAAATTCAAAGAGTAGAGTGGAACAATCGGTTAGTGTAGTACATGATCTGGCTTTTCCTTATTTTTCGCTTCTGTTATCATTTTCATCCTCTCATATGTCAGTAACATAATTTTGGCAGTGGTGTCTCTACAATTCATGCCACTTTTGTTTCTGCTTTGTCATTGTACTTTGTTTTCTGGTCGGATCTCTTTTCTGATCAACAACTTGCCGATCTTGTTGTCTTCCGAAGCTCACCACTCTCTACTTTTGTATTAGGGGTAAGTGTTAACCTTCTTATGTGGTCTTGAAGAGGTTCAGCTATGCATCTTGTGGACAATTTATTTGTTGAGTATAGATTCTCAAATGTGAACTAGGATAAATGCTCTATGCTTATTTAATGAGGCATCGCTATGTCCTATGTATATGCTTATGATGCCTCTGTATTTTCAGCTCATTGATTAGGATGAGAATTGCTTATAGTTTCTTCGAAGAAGAAAGCTTCCTTTATCATTTTCACCTTTTGGATGAAAGTGATTTGCATATGTTCAGAACAAACTGTATGATGGCAACCGGAAGGGACACCCCTTCTTTTATTCTCTATTTCACTCAAAACATTTTGAGGATGCGTGTCATCCTTAGTTGTCCACAGCTTCTTTGGTCACTTTCCTGGATAAATTTTGTGTGCCAACTTTTGGTACAAATCCTAGGACTTTTAGCATAATTGTTACATATTTTACAGGTTTCTGTTGGATACTTCCTTTCCGATCTGGGAATGATTTTGTGGCTATTTCCCTCTTTAGGTGGAATAGAATATGTAAGTGTATTCTCTATGTGGAAAGTACTCTGGCTTACATTTTATTTATTTGTTTATTTTGTTACTGTTGTAAGGAATGATAGTAACAGTTTAACTGTTGCCACTGTCCCTAAACATCCTTTCAAGCTGTATCTTTAAATACTCGGATGTTTTCCTTACTCCGTTCAACTTAAGACAAACCCATTTGGTTCATTCACTGAATATGCAAGAGACTTCTAGATCAGAGGATTCAATTTAAATTTGACAAGTGTCGTTGTTTTGTTGAGTAAAGATGAATCTTTATAAAATTGGTAACTGTTTAAAAGCATAGTAGGCAACAAATTATGAGTTATTGCATGCTTAAAGTGCTTATGTTCATGGAGTATATGCAATGGTAAGGGATGACTCATAATATACTAGCATCTGATTGCAGGTTATACATCATTCCTTTTCTGGAATTGCTGTGGCATATTCAATGTTTACTGGAGAAGCACAGCTTTATACGTACATGGTTCTTATATCTGAGGTAACAACTCCAGAGATTAATATGAGATGGTAAGTTCAGACTGGATAGGTTTTATTTGTTGAAATTCTGATTTTAAACCATCTCTTGTTTCTGTGACGAAGGTATCTTGATACAGCTGGTATGAAGAGGTCCAATGCATATCTCATTAATGGTGTTGTCATCTTTTTTGTTTGGCTGGTGAGCTAAACTTTTCTTAGGTTTTCATTATTAAAGGACATGTGATCTTACATGTCACCATAGAACCTGCGTCATAGAAAGAATAGGAAAAAGGAGGGGAAGAAAAGTTGAATTGATAATTGGATCTGAATGTCCATCAAAACAAGCTGACCGGAGTTTCTCCATCAGTTAGAAGCTTTTTTGAGGATTTTGCATATGTTTGTGAGCAAAGATAGCAGAAGATACTTAGTTTTGGTTTTTTTTTTTTACTGCTGTTTTTCATTTTTAGTGAGTTCCTTTTCCTTGAACTTTAAACCTTTCCTAGAAACTAAAGAAAACTATGAATTGCAGATTGCCAGAGTTCTGCTATTTGGCTACATGTTCTACCATGTGTACTTGCATTATAATCAGGTAATTTCTCCTCCCTGATATTTTAGCTTTAACTGAATATTTTTGTTGTCTTCAACTACTTTGCTGCGTCAACTAATATTTTTATGGTTCCATATCTTTTAGATTTTCACGAATTGGTTTTTTTCAATATCTGGTTGTCACTAAGAAGAGAGAAGAAGAATAGTATTAAAAGTAGGAATCTATCATTTTTTTATTCAACAGTGATTCCAAATTTCCAGTGGCTATTAGATTCCAGCTTTGCTGCAATACCTTTTCCCGTTGCCCCATCTTTTTTTTAATAAATTCACCTTGTCGTTCTTATTTGAAGCCAAAGAGGGCATATGTTATTTAAATTTTTAGTGATTCATGAGTTCTAAGTGTTGCTTATCTGTATTTTTAAAGCATGACTCTTCTTTGTGTCAGTCTCCTTTCATGCTGAAATTCACCCTCTTTTGTAGTTGTCTTTCGAATTTATTCTGTATGCTTGCTACTTTCTTGTTGATTGATCCTGTACTTCCTTCTGTAAGACTGTAACCGACTCTTTAGAAATTCCGAACCCAAACTGTGAACTATTTAACCAATTCTGGCATCACTGATTGCTTTGCTATAAGTATCTGGTAAGAATCTGTTCCAACTTGTTTGGCTAAGTAGGTGATCAAGATGCATACCTTTGGCTATGTCTTGGTTTTCGGGGTGCCATTGGTGTTAGCTACCATGAACTTGATGTGGTTTTCGAAGATTATTAAAGGTTTGGTGAAGACTGTAGCAAAGATGCAATTACGGATATAGGAAGTAAACGTGAATCTAATATCTTCAGATATTGCTCTGCCCTGAGATTTGTATATTTTTCTACTTCTGCCATGTAAAAATGATTGAGAAATGTCAAAATCTGAGTACCAAAGAAAATGAAAAGTAAATCTGATCTGGTTTTTCCAGTTGATGGAGATGGAATTGCTGTAAATGGTTCCAATTGAATGCACTATTTCGGTAATCACTTAAATAGTCATATCTTGCAATTATTTGGCTTTCATGAAAGATTTCCACGAACAAGAAATGTTTTAATGCAAAAACATTCCATTATATTCCATGTTCATGATCACTTTCTTCTATCTATTTGATAAGCGTTGATCATTTCCACTGGAACAGACATAAAACTATGATCTCAGCAGTGGGTACTAAACCAACCAATCTCATAATTTAGACAACAGCTCAACATTCCAAAACATTCCAATATATTCCATGTTCATGATCACTTTCTTGTATATAATAATAAGGCAATAAAACTTTCTCAATGATTCACAGTTTTTCTGAGTCCTTTTTCTGGCTGATATTTGCAGTATTGCTCTGCAAATTCTTTGCCTACTCACATTATTTCATTAGCATATTGAGGATTTTCTGGTTGAACTACCAAAAAAATACTCTTCTTCAGAAATGTCGTTTTATTCATTTTAGCAATGGGATTCTAAATATATGATTTGATTCACCAACATTCCTTTCCTCTAGAGTTCTGGTTCTTTTCTCTGATTTCATTTATTTTTTTTCATTATAACAACTAATTCTAATTTTAAACCATTCTACCTCTAGGGTGATACTTGTATTATAAAACACCAAAAGCTGTATCAATAATGATCTGCATGGAGCAGTCCAGTTACCTCAATACTTACCTGCAACTCAGCAAGAAAGATGTAACCTAATAATATCAACATTTTTCTTCTCAAATTTTTTCATATAACCACCATTGCAGATAGTGGTTTTTAGTGCTGAAAACTCAAGTCTAATACTTAACATCATATTTTTAGTCCTTCAGATACGGGTAAAGCATTAAGTCTTTCGGTGGCATGTCTCCGTTAAAATTGAGACAACATCGACCAAATAAAACAATCAACTTAACTGATTTATGAACAGATATTTGGGAGGAAAATTTTCCATAGCATGGCTTTCCTTACACAAGTAATTAAGATAACAGAACTAGGCAAACAGGTAATTGTTCCTGAAGTTTCTTCTAAAAACCAGATAAGGGGTTGGCAGAAATGAGCTGGATTCTTGATTAACCACACATCATAGCAGAGATTTGTTCATTAGAGTCTAGAAATCAGACGTTACTTAATCACTTATTCTATATAAAAAGCACCTTTACATATTTCCATAGTCCTTTAAGATTAAGCCCCATATAATTTACCTAATCTGTAATTAACGGTTGTTGACACAGACAATGCGTTAGGGCGAATCTTGAACATCATTTTAAGAATTTAAAATTTTGGTACAAGAAGTGGCATGCGAACAGGGTCTTCTTTCTATTTTTGTCTTTAATTTTTTTCATTTTCCTTGTAAGATCAACATCTATTGCAGCAGCTCCATCTTGTCTATGCCTATATCAAGTACAGGGAAGAAAGACAAGTGAAACTAAACAAGTAGCTATCAAGCTTTCAATTTAGATGCCACATTTCCTTGACTAGTTCTAGTCTTCCTTTCTTGATTTCAGCATAAATTTGTTGAGCTAAACTGATCAGGCTTTAAACTTTCAAAGCCTTGAACCTTTTCTGTTCTCTTTTTCACTTGAAGTTCAAAGATGATGAATTGGTCCAAGTGACTTAGCCGCATATCCAAATAATCTGATACGATTAGTACATTTATAACCCAAAGAAAAAAAAAGTATACTTTTAAAGCTCTTTGATGCGTTACTTTGCTGTAAGAATCCCATTATAAAGCTGAATAAAAGACAAACTAAAACAAGTCCAAGCAGTTAAGATTCTTGCAATGTTAAGAAAAGAATTGAAGTTTTTTGCATATGCAGTGTTTCAGATGGCAAATAAACAAACTTCTTACAATAATCTGGCAAATACATTTCATTAGTTGTAATCCCAAATAAAATAAAAAGTAATGTTTTCGAAAGTGGTCTGATATTGCAATCCAACATCATTTAATACTAAATTTAGAGAAATAATTTTGCCAAATGAATTAAAACGCATGTGACAATTATGTGTCATATGCGACGGTTGATCGTCAGTTTGTGCTTAACATATACACGCTGGAGTATGGATCTTCCCGTCATAACCATGTTATTGCCTGCAGAAAAGAAGGATTTGGTCCAAAGAATTTTCTTATTAATTTAGAGATTAAAGCTCCCAAAGCCGCATATTCAATCTTTTGGAGTATTCAGATGATATATAGTGGCATGAAGGCCACTATCTCCTTTGATTCTCTGAGCCCTGTGGCCTGCCCAATGACTCAATCTGAGGCTAAAGGCAATGCGGCCGTGATTTCTGCCAGTGTCTTCACTCTCATTATAATACGAACAAAATGAGACTGGATTCAATCTCGTTTGCAAGTCTTGAATCAAATAGGGGACTGATCAGACGAAATTTTCTAACCTCATTCATTGAGTAGAAATAAACAAGCAAAACAACTCCCTCATTCAAAGCCTTTTCAGTGACATTGTTTCAGAAAATTTTCAGAAGAACAGATTTCGAAACTCGTATTGTTAGTTATAACTCTGCTACAACAGTATTCAAGCAAACAAAATCCCATATTTTAAGCATTTTAAAAAGGTTTAGCACATGCATTCACTAAAAAAAGGCATGCCTTTCATAATATCTTAACTGATGAAAATGTTTCTTCCAAAAGCAGTTGTTTTCAATGATTAGCCAAGTACTACATGCGATTCGTGCTCGCCACTATTAGCAGTGTTAAGTTTCAAAGACATAATATTCCATGGAAGCTCCTGCTTCACATGAAACTGAAACATGGGTTCCCGTTTACTTTCTTGAATCAGATCGATAAACAAAACTTTGATACCATATAAAACATATTATAATATTTGGCATGCGCACTTTAACTAGCTTCAAAAGGGATTTGATTTGCAGTACTACCCTGTAATTATCCATTCAGCTGGCGCCGCTTGCCTTCCATTTCTACTTCAACTAATATCCATGCACAAAACTTTTGTTTTCTTTCATCTTAGTATTCTTTGATCATAATTCATGGACATGTTGGTGGGCATAAATGCGGATCACGCGCACACCACGTTCAAAAATCCTACTCATATTGTTCTGTTGATGCAACATCGTTTATATTTATACATAAGCCTCATTTCAGCCATAAATTAAGCAATATTTTCCATCTATAAATACCTTCTTTCAGTAGATGCAATTCATCTTAGAACACAAACAAACAGTTTCCAATGGCAACTTCTTACTCCACCACCACCATTCTTTTCCTCCTCCTACTCATTGCATTCTTCAATTTCAATCAAACCCAAGCTGGGAACAGAAACCCTAATTCAGTTGTTCTTGGTCTAATACGTTCTAGCACTTCCTTTCCTATACCTAAACTCTCCAAATACTCAAGAAAGAGACTTTCAGAAGTATCAGATATGATTGAGCCATTGAGGCCAATTAGAGATGGATATTTGATAACTTTAAATATAGGAACACCTGCTCAGGTCATTCAAGTTTACATGGATACTGGGAGTGACCTGACTTGGGTTCCTTGTGGTAATCTATCCTTTGATTGCCTGGATTGTGATGATTATAGGAACAATAAGTTTGTGGGTACTTTCTCCCCTTCTCATTCTTCTTCGTCTGTTAGAGACTCCTGCGATAGCTCTCTTTGCATTGACATCCATAGCTCCGATAACTCTTTTGATCCATGTGTTGAGGCTGGATGTTCATTAAGTACCCTTCTCAAAGCCACCTGTTCTAGGCCTTGCCCTTCCTTTGCCTATACCTATGGTGAAGGAGGACTAGTCACAGGCACACTCACCAGGGATAACCTTAGAATTCATGGTAGTAGCCCTGATATCACAAGGGACATTTCCAGGTTTTCTTTTGGTTGTGTCGGCTCTACTTATCGAGAGCCTATTGGTATTGCAGGGTTTGGTAGGGGTGTCCTTTCTCTACCTTCACAGTTGGGGTTCCTCCAAAAAGGATTTTCTCACTGCTTCTTGCCCTTCAAGTATGCCAACAATCCGAATATTTCAAGCCCATTATCCATGGGAGATGTTGCTATATCGTCCAATAACAATTTACAGTTCACCCCACTATTGAAGAGTCCCATGTTCCCCAACAACTATTACATCGGTCTAGAGGCCATAACTGTAGGCAATACTAGTTCTGCTGAAGTCCCTTTGAACTTGAGGGAGTTTGATTCAGAAGGTAATGGGGGAATGTTGATTGATTCAGGAACCACTTACACTCACCTCCCTGAGCCATTCTATTCCCAACTTCTCTCAATGCTCCAATCACTGGTAACCTATCCCCGAGCCACAGATGTGGAGACCCAAACAGGATTTGATCTCTGTTATGGAGTTCCATGTCCAAATAACAGATTTACAAATGACCCTTTCCCTTCAATCACTTTTCATTTCTTGAACAATGTCAGTCTTATTCTGCCCCAAGATAATTACTTCTATGCCATGAGTGCTCCAAGTAACTCAACTGGGGTCAAATGCCTATTGTTTCAAAGGATGGATGACAGTAATTATGGACCAGCCGGGGTGTTCGGGAACTTCCAACAGCAAAATGTGAAAGTTGTCTATGACTTGGAGAAAGAGAGAATTGGTTTTCAACCTATGGACTGTGCTGCAGCCGCAGCCTCTCAGGGACTTCACAAGAACTGATTTAAGTGGTATTTAATTTGTAGTTCCTGCTGTTAGCCAATGGTGCATCTCTTGGCCCATATAATAATGAGGAACGAGAGTTTCCAGATGAATAATATGCTGTAACTGCTGCTTTTTTTTTTTTTAACCTAGTTTGTACATGACAACTGACAAAAATGTACAAACTAGAATTTGATGATGCAAGGTTTTGGATTTATCAAGAAAAAGGAGCTGTTTTTGTTCTTATTGCTTAGCTACAAAGGGACAAATTATGGTGGAACAGCTTTATCTATATTATCAGAGTAATGGGTGTGAGATGATGCGGTGTTGCACATGCCAAAAAAAAAAAAAACCATTTTAAAATTGCTGGAATCGTGAGCAACTTTGACATCATTGGATTCTTTTTCTAGTTCCATGTTACTGACGATAAAGTAGATGTATTTGTTTAGAATGAAATCATGCAATCAATCATTAGTATTGACATAGAGATTCACTTCCAAAGGAAGCTTAATTCGTCGTCTACTCAGCCTTTTTCATGTCCTAACTGGCACAAGTCCAAGCATTAGATTGAAGTTTCGTCTTGCCGGCTAGAAATCCACTCCACAATCATGGAAAATAGAATGTCTTCTTGTATTAGATGAAGTTAGACGGTTGCCAAATAACATGAATTTGGATTTTGAATGCTACTATTAAACAATTTATTAACAAGAAAAGAGTGATAAAAACCAAACGAAGCCATTGTCCGGTTAGAAAATGGGAAACTCAAAGAAACAAAAGAAGCGATTGTCACAGTTCGCACATTGATCCAGGCGTGGAGGAGCTGTCCGAGGCCAGCAATGTCCTTGTCCAAGTATGCCCAAGTGAATATCTCGTCCGTTACACAATGACTTGCCTAGAATATCCGGAATGATGATTAATCAAAAGCTTTTGCCTTGTATTTTTCCCCACAATGAGTTCAACAGAATTATTTGAAGATCACTTGTATCTTAAACTGGTAAAAAGAGCATAAATCGATCTTTAGGGATGGAATGCAAGGTTTAAGAAATTAGGCCTAACTCGGAACTCGATACAGTTTCGAACAGAAGCTCGAACGGAAGCTTAAGCTTCTATATTGATTTACCAGACTTCAGAGTTACCATGAAGCATGAAGGACAAATATAGTTATGTTGGAATCGGTGTTCTTTCGTATCTTCCGCAGAGTTCCAGGACTAAAAAGAGGACGGCCCACAGCAAAATTTTATACTGCTTGAAAGTAAAGAAAAAGAAAAAGTTGCCAAGTCCTTTCATATGAGAAGGCACACAAACTACTCCCAAGCTACCAATGGCAGATGGAATAGCATTTCTAGGCGTCTTTAACTAAATAACTTAATGAGCCAAAACCCACTGCAGTGAGCCCCAACAAGTCCTTGGAAGCTTACCAGAGTTATGGAGCATTGGCCATCCCCCCGACCCCAGAATCCAGATAGAAATTCAGTAAAATGACAATCAAATTATACAGTCTCTTGGGCATTTCTTATTTGAACATGTCGGTTACTATGGAACTGAAATACCATTACCACACTTTGATTACAAGAAAAACCAATCTACAACACAATAAAAACGGGTTGATAATGATATCAAAGGGTCAAGAGAACAAACATGTACAATTCTGAATGAACAGTACACAAACAAGGTAAAGTAAGGAAGATAAACTTTGATTGCAGAGAGTATTACAAGAGATACTTGGAAGATACAGGAGGGAAACAACCACCACAGCCTAAGAGCAACAAGATGCACTTGCTGTCCGATCTGCAGGTCTATCCATGAGAACCATTCCAGCAGGATTTTGTGCTGGCTGCACTCGAGGTAATCTTTTAGCTGTATGAAATAAAAATCAGTCAATTGTCAACTCGTAAAACAAATACGGCATGCCTTTTTGGAAACTTAACAAAACAACAAATAAAACACCTATTTCATAGAAAATGTCATTGACATTGGATGCAGTCTTTGCAGAAGTTTCCACGAAGAAAAGAGCATTCTCCTGAGCATAAGTTTGTGCTTCCTGAATGACCAACGATAATAAGAAGTCAAATTGACATTTGCATGTAGGTTGAAGTCAAAACAAAATTGAACCACAAAACTATTTGAACCTATACCATCTTAAAGAGAGATAGAGTTGTTTTGAAATGTCAAAAGATTGAAACTAGACTAATCCTAGAAGTCATCCTACCTCAGAATGCTACTGATTACCGGTAATATTATAATGTTTAAATTTGAAGGCAAAAGAAATATGAAGTAAAAACTGATACTGATAACTTGCCTCTGCTGCCACCTTCCTTGCATCTAGTAAATCAGCTTTGTTCCCAGCAAGTGCCATTACCATATTAGGATTGCCTTCACATGAAAAAGAAAAGACGAAATTTAACATCGAAAAATTAAAATTCAGTTACTCATAGCACTTAAATGAGCATGTCATAAGGATAAAAATAAGAACAATAAACTAGACACATTGATGACCATGAAGAATGTCTTCAAGGAATAGAAGAGACAAAATAATACCTTGGGCTTGAAGTTCTTGGACCCATTTTTTGGCTCTCTCAAATGATGCCTACAAAATAAGAGCGCTATTACTTTTCTCTTGGACACAAAATGCCATTCCACATCTCTATTAAAATTCAAAAAAAGGAATATTACACTTTTAAACTTCAAACTAAGCCAAAATTTCACTCTTAATTTTTAAAATCCTTACGAATAAATGTTAGCTTTACGTCATGGCAAGTTGTAACATTACATAGAATACTGCACTAAAATGCCTCAAATATAACTCCTTTCACACACCCCCCCCCCCCCCCCTCTTTATCTCTTGCAAGAAAAGCAACTTCACATACAAAAGAGAAAAATCATTGAACAAAAGAATTAAAGAGGAAAGAATGGGAGGGGGAGGTTCGGAGAACACCAATCTAATTTACACTAATCCCACGAGAATCTCAGTATTTTGGAGAAGATACCAGTAGTCTTGATTGAGGCATTAACCAGACACAACTTAAGTCAAACTTAGTGTTCCAAACATCATAAAATTAGATTCATAGAAAGCTTGCCTTGAGAACAGCAATTTTTAGGGAATTTAACCAAGTATGACCTAGATTATGTGCTCCCAAAGTTTTAATGCTTTATCTCCCAGTGTCACATTTTGAGCACTAGGAAGTTTAGTTTTTACATGACCAAATCACATAGAGAAGACATTGTAAGCCATCATGAACTTACTAGATTTGTTATATCATACACAATGATTGCAGCCGCAGCTCCTCTGTAATACATTGGTGCCAAGCTATGATACCTTTCTTGACCAGCTGTATCCCAAATCTCAAACTTTACAGTTGCATCATTCACAGCCAATGTCTGGGAGAAAAAAGCTGCACCAATGGTTGATTCCTACATCATTAGAAGATAAACGTCACGCTATATATTCCTAACTGAATTTTTAAATTAATATTGTTCTAACTCACAAAAATTCATAACAACACCAACCTGAAATTCAACAAATTGCCCTTTAACAAAGCGCAACACAAGACTAGACTTTCCAGCCCCAACATCCCCAAGTAGAACCTGAAGAATAAAATACAAATTAACAACTAATACATACAACAAAAACACCAGTCCAAAGTTCAAACTAAAGACACAGCTTTACTTTCTGGTATAACAATAAATAGGCACTCAAATTCTAGACATGTTTAGATGCATCATCGCAAATGAAAACAGAAATATTTTAACCCAACAAGACACATCCACATCGAGTAAGCTCCCTAATTAGAACATATGAATACCATTAGAAGCTAAAGAAATGAAGTAGCTGACTCGATATCCATATAATATCCACAATCTGAACAACAAAAAAATCCCAAAGAAATAGGCATAAACCTAGCCAATTCTCGCAAGTCAGACAGAGTTAATTTTAACAAAACCTTTAAAATTTAGAAATAATAAAGCAGAGAGAAAATTTCACAATTGAGACGATATCTAATATAAGATTTAGTTCTTGCGAAACTTAACCAATCTAAACCAGCTGCAAGTAAAGAGATCAAAAGGGAAACAAAAAAAAAAAAAATGAACGTCGAGGATCAAAGCAAAACTCACATGGGATTTCATGGCCCTAAAACAAACCACCAAAATAAAAAAATGCAAAAATAAACCAAACCCATATCAAAAATCACATTTAAAGCATGCATGATGCACAATTCACCAGACCCAAATCAGAATTCAGCATCTAAACCAGGCCCAAAGCACAAAATACTAGTAATAACAAAATATATATATATATATATATCTTAGGGACCAAAAGGAGGGTTTAAGATCAAGAGAGAAAAAACTGACTAATTTAGCATTGATGTTCTTGTTTCCAGTGGTGGCCATGAGATCCCCTATAATCAGATTTATGTTCCAAACAAAAATAGATCAGGAATATATGTAGTAATAAAAAAAAAATGGAGAGTCGTGGCTTGTTGGAGGCGTTGGAGAAGAAGAACAAAAGGGATGAACAAGCCAAATTGTAAAGGGAAAGGATCGTCCTCAACCCTCAAACCAAACCATACTCGCTTGATTTCTCTCCCTTCCAAATGACTCTCTGACCCAAACACGAAAGCGATCGCGATTGTTGCTTTTTCCTTTATAATTTATCCTCCTTTTTTCCTTTAAAAATTTTTTTATATTATTTTGACACATTCCACGTGGCAACAGCTGAGCCATTGTCTTGTTTCTGTCTACTAGATAAAATTAGAGTTCCCTTTTATATTGGAATTTTTTATTTTTATAATTGAAATGAAATTTTATGTGTTATGTTATCTAATTAATCTGGTCATAGTTATTTTTTATATTGAAATTTTTTAATTTTATAATTAAAGTGAAATCTTATGTGACATGTTATCTAATTAATCTGATTGCAAAATTTAAAACTTTAGTGAAATGAAATAATTTTTTTAAAAATTTAAGATAAAACATTGAATTGATGCTATATTTTAATAAGTATGTATATTTTATAAAACAAATATTTGTATATTTTTAAATATTCAATATTTAGTTTATGGCAGGAATGTGGCAATTGAGAAAAGATATAAATTTTGTTTAATTTTATTTAGTTTTAAATATTTTTATTTAAAAATAACAGTAAAAAATTAATTGTTCCATTGTTGAATCCAATTTTAGAATTTCAAACTTTTGGATTGGGCTTTTCATCTCATTACAAAGAAACCCAATAAAAATTTCAAGGAGTATAATTCGTGGGGTATTTGAGCCCCTAACAAGAACTCCACCTGACCCTTCAGAAGCCATTAACCTTAACAATGGCAATATGCATTATATATGCCATCGGCCATAGGATTAAAAAACAAAAAGATTGCTCAAGTTTCCCATATAAACCAGGCAACAACATGAACAAATAAGATGGCCCATGGGACCTTAATCTGCTAAACTTTTTTAACTTTATAAACATCAAGTTCTGAACTCAATCTTTCACGAATTTCCCACACATATTTCCCCAATAATAGAAAACTGTGCCAACTTTCCAACTAGAGATTTGGTTTGTATTTGTAATCTCTCATATATATAGTGAAGAAATCAATGTTTGAGATCCAACAATGAAGAGCTGTTGATGAATTTAAGGAAGTTAATTTCTGTGTTAAATTTTCATGCAGCACATAATTGATTCAAGTTCTAAAATTCTGAAACAAAGATTCTCAATGCACCTGTATTTGCATAATAAAAAACCTTTGAATCCCATATCAAGGTGCTACATGACACTGCTTCAACCTGATTTCTATGGATAATTTCAAGTGTCTAATCTCTAGGGTCTAAAGACAAGACTTCTGACGTTTTCGTAGGGCAAGAATTCTTTATATGAACATTCTCTGATCTGCAGAGGTAAGCTAATGAGCTATGGCACCACGGCTAGAAATGTTCATGTTCTTTGAGGATTCCTATTCTCTTTATATATTTTTTTTCTATCTTTTTTCTTAGCATGCTCTGTCAGATCAGAACAAAATCATTTTTGGACCAAGCAAGAAGCAATCGGATTTGGCTTTTTTACCTGGAGTCTCAGCACAAAGATGACTCTAGTAGTTGTTTTTTCTTTTATTGATGATAAAGGGCATCTTTGAAAGGTCATGGTCCTCCATTTCGATTTCATGTTGGGCATCAATGGGGTCCTTCCTGCCAATCAATTGCATTTAAATTCTCAAGTACAAGAACCCTTTCATATCTAATGTTTGTAAACATCCAACATCTAACTACAACCAAATGTCTACGGTGCAACAACTACTATCCAATCTGATGGGGTGTTAGCTAAGTCGGCAAGTAAATTTTTCAGTACAAAAAAATCTCAATTTGAAAATGAAAAAAAAAAAAACGCGACAGAAGTTGAAATTAAAATTCTAAATTTATTGAATGTTATTATTCAAATAAACTATCGTTGCCAGGTAAATTTAATAATACAATCCTTAACCTGATTGTTAACTTGACCTAACATTTTATTCCGCAATAAGTTTGTTTGTATTAAAAAAAAAAAAATTATTTTCAAACTCTTAATCTAGTGATTAAAAATATTTGAAAAGATATCAAAAGTTTGATTTCGAACTACACCTCTTCTTTTTTTTTATTTGTGTAGAACTTTGTTTTCTTAATATAACAAAAAAAAAAAGTACTTAAAAATTAGAATTTCCAATGTTCTGATGGACTAAAGAAAGCAGAGCTTTTGATTTTCCTCCAAGGAAAAGAAAAGGAGATTAAACACTGGAGAGGAGGGGTGTTCTTTGTTTGTGATAGCGCTTGGGGGGGGAATGTGAAGCAGCAGTACCATTCTACCAAAAGAACAAAAAATGTGAAACAGTGAAAGTGTAGCAAATGGCCAAAATAGAGGGAGAGATAGATAATAATTTGACTGATGATAACACAGAAAAAAGGAAATAAAAGCTGGAAATGCCCATTATATCCAGGCTATCTATCATAACACTCTATGATGGAAAAAGGGAAACTTTAGTGCAAACAACCCTTTTGTCAGAAAATTACAACCAAGCCTAACAAATTAGCCAATAATGACCTCTGCCTTCCTTTCTGAATCTGAATTCTCAGTGGAAAATAAAGAGAAAGAAAGAAAGGCCCAACTTTGGCACAGGCCACAGCCTTCTCAAGGGAATACAAGACTACCTCCAATAATAGAACCCAGAATGGCATTTCTGTGAATTTATCAAACCATTGCATCCCACAGGGTTCAGAGATCCATTGACTGGTCCCCTTTGACCAGTACCAGAGAAGTACTGGTCACTGCACAGTGGATGCAACATTTCTCTCACAGCAGCTCCTCATTCCACTTCCCCAACATGGCATGTGTGATTCACACTCCAAACCTCTACCAGAATTATGATATCTGAAAGGGTTGCTTCGGGTTTTCCTGTAAACAAGGGAGAGTAGGGTTGATATTCCCATATCTGTCATGAGATGCTTTGTGGAATCTCCCTCTGCATTTTTTTCCAAGGTGGTGTATGACAATCTAGATGTCAAGCACTTATGGAGTGACCTACCACTTTAATTCATGTGATCAAGTTCAATCAGTTGAAGGATTTGGATGAAGAATATATCATTTTCTCACTCTCTAGTTCATCGTTCATTTTAAATTATCTTATCAACAAAAGAATGTAAAGAGGAGTGTGCTTTGATGAAAGCACATAATCCACATTCAAGCCATATATACAGTATAATTTCCTTGAAGATAAGCCCAAATGCACAACAATTCGCTTATATTTCACTTTTGGTAGGATTACATCCAACCCTAGTTTGTGTTTAAACACTTGACAGGAAAGAGATACAGAGTTTTAAAACATAATTAGAATGATTAATGAAGGTGAGTACAACATAAACTAATATAGGTTACAAATGGTATTTCCAATTACTATAACAACTGCCAATGTGATCAATTAATCTCTCCCTGTCTTAGATATTAATGGATAGTTTTCCCTTTTCATCAATAAAGAGATCAATCACTTTGGAGCTGACTGTTTCTTGTGGGAAGCTAAAGCAAGGATAGAGTTAGCAAGCTTGTTAATGGCATCAACCAGGCCATCAGTGCCTCTTTGGTTGATCTCTGTCTTAGATTCCTCAATCTTTAGTCTTCTCTCATGCAAACTAACAAGATCTCTATGTCTCCTCTCCTCTCTTTCCTCACTGGCCTGGATGGCATTTGCTATAATTGAAGCACTTTTAGAGATTGCAGTGCCCACTTCATTTGACTTGTTTGCACTTGCAGTGCCACTGGTGCCTTCCCCATTACCTCCTCTTCTCCTTCTCTTTGCTGGTGAGTCTGAATGCTCACTTATATCAGAATCTGAGCTATCACACATCTCCAAAACATAAAAATATGGAACCAGTGAAATCAATCAATACTAACTAAAATTTAGGACACACGAAAACTTTCAATTATTAGTGATGAAATCAGCCAACTCTCTCACCCCTTTCCAGAAAAATGAAGCACAAAAATGAATGCTATTAAAAGGCACATTTAATCAGTGCATAGTCATAAACAGTGGTCTCTAACATGGCATACCAAAATCTTTGGAAGCTGTACAATGCAAAAAAAGATAAAATACAAACCCGTCAAGATTACCATGTAACAAATTTAAAGCAACCCTTGATGTCGGGGCCATGAAAAACGTTACAGAATGTTAATAAATAGTGAAAAAAAAAATACAATGTGAGCAAGGCAAGCGAGAGAGAGAGAGAGAGTACCTACTGTGTGCAATGGCTGAGCATATGAAAGGAGAGGTGGTTGTACCAGTGGTACAGTAGCAGCTGTTGGCGGTGGTAGCTGTGGCTGTGCCGGTAGAGCTGGTAATGGAATTGCAGCTGGAAGTTGATGTTGCAATAGAGGAGGCAATGAAGATTGCACGCTAGTCATTGGTCTATCCATAACATAAGGTATGTTGGGAATGGGACCTGACCCACCAGAAGCCACCATCTTTCGACCTCCTTTCTTCTCCACCACCTCCTCCAAACGCTCATATATCTGGCGCAACATATTACTAGGCAAGTTCTTTTCTTTTCTTTCATTCTTCTCCATCTCCCAATAAGATCCTTCATTACTATCACTCCCTTCTCCTCTCTGATCAGCTATTCTCCTTTGGTACTCTCTCACTTTCTTGTAGTCCCTCATGAGATTATCCCACTTGTCATTGCACTGGTTTTGGCTCCTCAAACACTCTTTTTCCCAACAATAATCTTCCACCCATTTCCATCTCAGCTCTGTTGGTTTGCCTCTCCCTTCACTGTCCCCATTTTTCTTCATTCTCCGCTCATCATCCAACTTCTTTGCCTCAATCAACACCATTGTTTCATTGACAGTCCAGTTTCCTTTCCTGTATTCCCTCATTACAATATTGCTACCACCCTGATCAGCCATCACCAAGTGCATGCAACACCCTAGCTAAAACATAGGGAAAGATCAGGAGGAGAATGACAAGGGAAGGAAGAAGTTGAAGCTATCTAATGCTCAAGAAAAAGGGAGCAAGAGGAACTTGATAGAAAGAAACTTGGCCCAAGGGGGTCTAATTCTGAATACTCTGTGTCTTTTTTGCTCTCTTTTTGGAGACCTGATTTGATGTTGGCTAACAAAGTAGTCAAATATTACACAAGGATTGCTAATTGAAGCAAAGGTATTAATATGGGTTCCACCTAAAGGCTAAAATAAACATCACTATTAAGACAAATAAAAAAAAAATATATAGAAAGGTCATATTGTTTTCCTATGCAAATGAAAAGGAGAGAAGCAGCAAAGCCAAGTTAAGCTGCCTGTTTTCATCATCTATAAACCTCTTCTTTTTCTCAACTGAAACTTTCAAACTCCTTTTTCATCTGCTTGTTGTTTTGGTTTGCACTCCCTTCCCCTTACATTCTCCAAAGTTGAAAGTTGAAATCTAAGACTTCATTTTGATGGGCGGAGACATTAATTTTTGTAAAATTAAAAATAATAATAATTATTATTATAATTGTAATTGAAAAAAAATTTAATAAAAAATTTATATTGAATAGATTTTACTGAAATTAACATTTAAATTTAATTGCTGAATTGATGATATAGTAAGCTCAATCACAACGCACCTCCAAAATCCATCCGAACCTAACCTTCTTACCACTGCCTCCTCCCTACAAAGTGAGGGAAAGCAAACCATGAGAGAGAGAGAGGGGTGGGAGAGAGAAAGTGCTATCAAGCTTACCATTATAAGAAGAGGCCACGAAAATTCATTACACATCAACAAACCCCCAAAAAAAAAAAATCAAAGAGAGAAAGAGTTTTTTTCTAGGAAAGGGTAGATATAATTAGAGATAGAGAGGAAAAGAAATAATGTTGCCTGCATTAGGGAAAGTGTCACCATGAAAGACCACACATGTGGCTAAGCCACCAATCATCACTCCCCTTTTCAACAACTCTTTATAATAATTAAACATACACTTTGACAACTTTTTGTAAACATTCCAAGCATTACTATGGCCAAAAAAGAAATACTACCTCTTAAGTAATTAACTTCCACATGCATAGTTTTTTTTTACTGACTTTTAAACCATTGAAAAGCAAATTTGAATGCATTGTCTTGTATATTCATCTGTTACTAGTAAAATGCAGTTGTGATGTGGTGATAATCTCTTTCACTTCGCTGTCAAAAGAAATTTTAATTAAATACTACGTAAAATTTTACATGAAATGCCTCCAATATTAACATAATAATGTAATGATTTGGTTAGCCTTATTGAATAATGTCACAAGGTGATAGTTGGAATTATTGCATAAAGATCTTTCTTCAAGGGTTTGGACATAAACATGGAAGCTTCTATTTTCACTCCAATAATTTTATTTATATTTTGTTACTAATTACAGCTTAAATGTAAAATTAAAAACTAATTTTTACTAATTACATCTATAATCCATAAATTTCATTTCCCCTAAACAACCTCATACCCCTCTCACACAATTTCCCTCTCAAAAACCGATTCACTATAATCTCTCAAATAATAAACCCCAAAAATCATTAAGTTTTTGAATCATTCAAGTCATCAAGCTTTAATTTTTAATTTTTTCCTTTCATTTTATTTGATTTCAGTTAAATTATCTTTGATTTCGTCAAATTTTGTATGTGAAATTATAGGTTTCAGATTTGCATTTTTTAAAAAAATTTGGATTTGCATTTTTTAAAGGTTTTACACGTATGCAAATCCAAAAACTTTTAAAATTTACTTGAAATACAAATCCAAATTTTTTTTAAAAATGCAAGTACAATTTTCGAAAATATAAATCCAAAAACTTGAAAAAAAAAGTAAAAATGAGTATGCAAAAATAATTTATTAAAAGTTAATGAAGTAATTTCATTTAAAGATATTTTTGTAATAAAAAAATTGGAGTGTGTGAGAGTATTTGTGAGGTGCTAATAGAAGCTCCCTATAAAGGATAATTTTGTCTTTTTGGGGATAATACCTATATCAATTTTGTCTTTTAAAGCAAGACATTTAAAGAGGTATAAAAAAACATAATGTTTTACGAACTGTTTGATAATATATTTGATTTTTATTTATTTATATTGATATATTAAATTTAGTAATCAATCACAAATAATATTTTAAAATTTATTAATTAAATGTATAAATCACAAATATAATTATTTATATTTAATTCGTTTATGAAAATTAATAAAGTGTTTGATGAATAACTCATAAACATAATTTTTGTTTTTATTCATTTATTAAATTTAATAAATAATTAAAATTTTTTCATAATTCATTAATTAAACAAAAAAATTATAAATATAACTATTTTCACTCATGTTCCATTCCTTTACTCTCTATACAATTAAAGCCCTCACTCCCTCGCTAGAAACCTCTTTCTTCGCTCTTAAAACCTGCCAGCTAGGACCGGAAAGGTACCAAATTTTTGCCAACGGTTACTTTGACTAGGGCTTTGACCAGAGGGAGGACAAGCAATGGGGTCTTGAAGCCCCTCGTCTAGTCTCTTTCGTTCTAAGTTATTGGACTCTAGCCTGCACTTATCATTTTAGCTGTACAAAAACAACCTATGGTAAATCCTTTTGTTTTGTTTGTTTTTTTTATACCAAGGGAAATATAAGTTTTGCGAGGTATATTTTTTTATTTGATTTGAATAAATCTATTGATATTAGATTTAATACATTTATTAAAAATTATTTTATTTAATATTTTAATAAATTCAAAGTCAAACAATACAAAACCACACTATCTTTATTACTTGAATTAAAAATTCAACAATAGTAATTCTTTTTTTATTATTGGCTTCATTAATCTTAAATACTAACCATTTTTTTTATTAATGCTAATTTTGAATATATATAATTTTTTTAGGATATGACACATCTTGCTCTACCTTATTAGGTTAAACAACCAATATTTATCATAAATTTTCAATATGAACAAAATTGTTCTCTATCTTTTTTGGTGATCTTTTAAACATAGAATAAATTTTTTTTTGTTTTTTTTTTCTTTTGTCTTAGTGATTTCAACTTTGATGTTCAATAACTAAAGTGTATAACTTAGATTAAAGTATATAATATTGTGAGTAAAAGAAATTGTGGCAACATAAATAAATCAGATGACAGTGATGTTATAAATGAAAAAAGATAGGAAATATCCACACCCCAGATATCACTCTTGAATATTCACAATAGTTCCATTAATATAACAACATTTATTGCAAGTAAAGACTATATCATAGGAGCATGGATTCATACAATTCAAAATTTAATATTGCCTACTTTTAATTAGAGGAAGTTCACACTTGAAAGTTGTGGGTTCAAAAAATTTTATACACACAATAAATAGAACGGTAAAGACCGGAAGCAGCATTTGACAAGCCAAAATCTAAAGAGCAATAAAGTCAAGGTTTCAATGATTGACCTATAAAAAATTTATGGAATTAGTTTGGAAACATATAACCTGAAGCTCACTCGGATGAACTGACAAAATTTGTTACCATATGAATATGTTTAACTCAATGGGAAATTTGAAATGTTCAATGGAAATCCATGATCTTCTGTTGCATGGGGAGTAAAGGAGCTATCAGTTTTTCTTCCATTCTTCCCAGTTTTGGAAGGGTCCAGCAGTACTTTGATGTGGAAGGAGCTTCCTGCTTCTTACTTCTCGCTGGATGTCTAGGTACCAACTTTGCAACATGGAGCATCAGCCGCTTTCCTGCAACCAAACAAATTATGGAAGTACGGTCTGTCATAGTGGAATTCTCTGTGTTACATTGCAATCATAATTATTTATGGCACTATTCTTTTTTCCTTTTAATTTAATGAAATCAATGATACAAAGGAAACATTTCCCCCTGCATAATCTAATTTGGTGAAATCGAATGAAAGTGCTTTTACATTTTACTTCAGATGAACTTATGCAGCAATATAGAAGCAGGGGAAACTCTATCAAATAACTCACAAACCCAATTTATATGACCACGAATGTTTCTATGAAAAATATAGCATTTTTCTAAGAATTCAATATATTTATTCCACAATTAGGCTCTGAACTGGCATTAGAATTATTTTTAAAACTACACTTACACGAAAAAATGCCTGGATTGTACAAAGTTCCATCTTCCTTTCTCAACCGGACCCTCACTCTCCCTCTTTGCATGAAATCACATGGGTATACCTTATCAATCTGCAAAAGTTAGAAAAATCACATGTTACATTTATATAACAAGTACCAATAACTAGTTTGTTTAACTGCTGACAGAGTACCAATTCAACTAAGCATGCAACAAGAGAGATGAAGAAGATATTTGGCATATGTGTTTTGGGTGCCCCGAGTTCTTGGACAAAAGTAGACCTAGCAATTTAAAACACGACAGGTGATATGATACGAAAACGATACAAAAAAGGATATGAAGGTGACACGGTTTAAAATTTTAGCAAAAACTATATATGTACTTAACAAAATAAAACAAATTGTAATTCGTGTTTTCATGACACAAATTGAGAGACGCAATTTTCGTGTAAAACATGGCATGAATAAACAAATTGCCGGTATTTTACATGACACAAACGGATGAATTGCCAAATCTAAACAAAACAATAGGCAAACGACTATTTTCATGGATGCAGAAATAATTTAGCTATTAAATTGCTCTAAAGGTAGCAGGCAATTGAGGTTTAAGGGCAACCTTCTTGTTGGGTAAACTGATAGCTGGGAAAAAAAGTTTACTAGTTATAAGACACGGATAATAGTGAGTCCTAAATGTCTGATTATAGGTAGATTTCTGAAACGGGGCAGAAGGAAGCAAAGATAGAAAGAAACGATGGGTAAGACTAAGACACTGCTGGTAGAGCCACCACTCTCATAATGATCCTTGAATGATGAAAGGAGCAATGCATGAAAAAACCCAAAAACCATGCTTATGGCATTCTGTCTTCAGAGACCATAACAGTTTTACATCCTCAAAGGGGGCAATATATAAGAGTGGTGACAGCCCTTGGTTAATTTTGATCGTCATTGAGGGAAATACTTATAATTGTTAGAACAATGTTGGTTGATGTCCTCTGCGAATTTCAATCATCAAAGAGCGCAATACTTATAAGCAACTTCAAACCTCAGGTTTCTAATCAGGCACAAAAAGTTCATATTAGATAAGGTCTTATTCTTCCCCAAGTTTCCACAATGGAAAAGGAAAAGGAAGGGGATCAAATAAGTAACACAACAAATCATACAAGAACAAACCTCAATGGCATTCACATACTCTACTCAAGCTGATTCGCCTCCCCTCAGCTACTGTTTTCTTCGAATTAATATAAACAGGATAGAAAACTACCCATTTCTTTATGTTGGGGAATTTTGCATTCCTCTTCTCCTATCTGAATCCAACAACATAACATAGAATTCAGCAAAGATATTACAAACAAAATGGTTCAAAACTAAGCTTGCTATTCAGAAAGTCTTAATAAACGTGTTAATGGCATGAATAACGATTTTAATTAGGGGAGATCAATGAAAGCAGCAATGTAACTAGATAAACCCTAACAATTGAATCCCTAAATAACCCTGATTTTAATAAGGGGAGATCTCAATAAAAAAGCAAAATCCATTATTTTTTAACATAAAAAATCAGATTTAAAATCAAATTTCCAATCAATTATATGACAAATCATATTCATAAACAATCAAGGGTTTAAAAAAGCAAAATTGAATATCGGAAAAACCATAACGCTAAATAAATTCAACTTAAAAAAAAAAAGAAAAATAGGAAATTGTCTCCTTCTACCTTAAATTAATTGATCCAAAATCAAAGACCAATAAACATTTTTGAGCAAAACCAATAAGAAGCTGTTAAAAGTTTTCTTTCTAACCTGAATCTCCGATTTTGGTAACTGCTACTCAACGGTAGAACGAGAGTCGGTCCGCGAATTGCTGTGGACAAAAAAAAAAAAAAGAACGGCTGTACAAAATAAAGCTGATGCTACAGCATTTCATAACCGGCAGCGAAAAAAAAAAAAGAAATTCGAAAATCGATTTAAAATTATAATGTTTGATTTAGTTTGAATTAAATTTTTTATTCGATTTAGATTAAATTTAAATATTAAATATATAAATTAAATTTGGATAGAAAAAAATATCAAAAAAATTAAATTAAATCAAATTATATATATTTTAAATTTTTTTAAAATAAAAATAATAATTTTATATTAATATTTATTTAAATATATTAAAATCAATAAATCAAATTAAATTTATAAATTTTGAATTGATTCAGTTCAAATCAAATAAAATTTTGATTAAAATTTAAATCAAAATTTAAAATTTTATAATATTATATAATATTTAAAAAATTTAAATCGAATTATTATCATCTTTAATAATTAAACTATAACACGTGTGCATGCTTTAGAGTGGTTTTTTTTGTTTTTATGGTTTGAGAATTGAAATATTTTTTAATGGGAATAATTTTGAAAATAAAAAAAAGAGAAAGGAAATAATTTTTTAGAAAGAATTGTAAGACAAACGTTCACCTAAAGTTCTTAATTTACACCAAAAAAGAAATATCTATATTTTATTCTTTGCTTATTCACTTTTCAATAAAATAAATAATTTATATATATGTATAAACTATTGTTACTAAATTACGATTATGCTTATAAAATAGTCACATAATTATTAAAATTTTTAATTAATTTATTAAAATTTAAGTAAATATTTTTTTAATCAATTAATTGTTAATCTCTAATGCTAACGTAACAATGCTTATTTAACATACCAACTGATATTAATGATATGACATTATAAATTTTGAAAAAAATGAATTTAGTATGCAATACTTAATAGCTGATGTGTCATTACCACATTACATTGTCGTTGAAACAAAACGTTGAGTGATTAAAAAAATATTTACACTTTAATGATTAAATTAAAAAGTTTAATAGTTTAGTAACAATTTTAAAAATAAATCATAGTTAGGTGACTAATGAAGTAATTTATCCAAAAAAATATAAAGTAAAATACATAATTAGTCACTTAACTATATAAATGTTTAATAATCTAATTATATGGATTTTTTAGAATTATCACCTAACTATTAAAATTTCAATTTAGCCACTCAAATTTGAGTAAGTGCTTTTTTTTCTTTTTCTCTCATCCGTTAGATTCTAATTATGCACTAATGTGACACAGATACATCAATGATCATGTATCACGTGATATTACCACATCATTTGATATGTCACATGATATAATGATAATTAATATAAAAAATGATATGGTAGTGTCATATGACGTATATGATAGTATCACTCTCAACATATCATTAAAGATTAACGGTTAAATAACAAAAAAAATACTTATTTAAACATAAATAATTAAATCGAAAAAATTAATATTAACATGCAAGAAAACAGATTAATGAGGTCAAAGATACAATAATGATGTAATGAACACATAAAAGCACTTCAGTAAAATATAGCCAAAGGTGTAAGACTACCACCATCAGTGGGCAAAAATCAAGATACGAAAAAAAGTTATTGTCAGTGCAGTAGAACAATTTCAATATTCCTTGGTAAGATTTCCAACATAGTGACGTTAATTAGTCAAAGGGTGCATGGAATGCAATCTCAAGATCAGTGACTGTCTTTCGGGGCTGATTGTTATCAATGGGCAACACCTGGAACATCCTTTCAATTCAATAAATAAATGGAAACTGGCAAGCACTAATCTCAATACAAAAGAAAAAATAGTCTGATATATTTGATTAAACATACTGTTTCAGGGCGCATGAACAGACGTTTCCATGCTCTTGGGTCCCCGCTAGTTTCAGATGCCTTCCTTTCTTCCTACCTCTTTTTCTTGAAAGTTTTTGGCCCTTGGTTAGCATAATCATCAGTCCACAGAAAAGGGTAATGTTGGATAAATGACAACGAATGGGAAGTAATGATCATTTGAAAACCTAGAAGCTGCAAAGAATAATTGAAACTGGTGCTGCTTACTACGGGCCGATGAAAGCCCAAAACCGCAGCCAGTATGTTAGACGGATTTGAGTCCGAAATATTAAAATTTGGGTCGGCCTTTGGCAATTCTATCTAGGGCCTGGGATAGCCTTAACAAAATATTATTTTTTATATAATAATCTTAAATTTGATATTTTTGTATTCATGTTAATTTTTTATTTCGTATTAATAATTTTCTTCTCGTAATTAAAATTGCAAGGTGAAAAAAAAAAAAATCAAGTCCGTTTATTTCCCTTCCATATATTTATAGACAATAAAACGAGGTTTTTCGGGGATTTCCAAAACATAGAAGTTGGAAGCGAAGCAAAAGTCAATGTCTTCCTCGTACGAGTCGTGGAGATCTGCTGCCACTAACAGGAGACCAACTCATCCCACTGACAATCCCAAGATTCCTGGACCCATTTATGCGGACCTTGATCCGGCTCCGAGGCCAAAACCCGTCATTCAATTGCTCGCCTTCGGGTTCATCATATTTCTCGGCCTCCTCCAATTCTTACCCGCTTCCCATTTCCGTGACCCCTCAGACCCTTACAGAAAGTGGGTCCCTTTCAACTCCGACGCTTCTTCTTATTCCACTGTAAAACTCCGCTGTCCTCTTTTTCAGTTTTCTTTTTTCTTCCTATCTACAATCATAAATCCTGACTTTTTTTTCCTTTTTCCTGTTTGCTTTTTTGATTGGTTACACAAAGTCAAAAGATGGAGGAAACCCCACATTGTTCAGGGCCAATGATGAAGAAGAAGGGATGGTACATGTTGTTTCATGGATGGATTGTTTGGACCTTAAAGTGCTGGCAGTTCTTGCCAACTCAACTCTTTCAAGTTCAAGGTATCCAAGCTGCTCTCTTTTCTCTCTCTTGGCTTCTTGGGTGCAATTATTGACTGAATTTAACGGCTTAACTTCACTCTAATCCTGCAGATTATCATCCATTAGAATCGATCAACATATTTTACTGCGATCCTATCAACTTTTCTGCTTTTTCTTACTCATTTTTCTGTGCTTTCCTGAATGTACAGATACCCAGACTTAGTTCACTTTCATTTCTTTACACCTCAAGGGGATAAAGACAAAGTTTCCTTCTATAAGTTGAAAGTATTATTCCCACATTCAAACCTTGAACTTCATGGGTAAGATATTGGGTTTTTTTTTTTTTTAATACACGTTTGCAGAGAGTTCATCTTGATTCTTATTGATGTTATTGTCAAATTGTCACAGGCAAGAGGAAGTGAAAGAAATGATTAGGACCGCTACTTCTGAGGCAGAATATGACAGCCTCAAATTTGAGGAAATAGCACCTTTTGTTATACCAAGAGTCCATCAGTCACTAAGAAAATTCATATACGTTTCAGCCAGTCTAATTTTGAAGGTTGGTTTCTTCTTTCCTAATTTAATTTACATTTGATAACAGTTTACTTCTACATATGAAGCTTCTTTTGTCCCTGGCTTAAGACATTGAAACATTACAAAACATGATGACATGCATTCTGATGCAAATAGAAGTAAATTATGTCCTCTCCAACATATTTTAGTTGTTCAATGCTTGACTTACCCTAATGGGAAGTTACATGCTTACAGGGTTTGATAGTCAATAAAGTCATGTCATCTAATGGTATTAGCGATTGAACACAATAAAATTAAGTTAAATAACCGTCCACAAGATCAGTATCATTGCGCTATTTTCTTATTTGCGATGGCAATTTCTTGGTATTTGTAAATTTTTTAGACTCTGCTTGTACTGTAGGGAAGAGTAGAAGAACTAGCTGGAATTGACTTAAGCACCCATGCTGTTGCAGCTGCTGAGGACTGCTCTAAAAGGCTAAACAGCTATGTGAACTCAGATGTTTTGGGTGCTATTCAAAGATCGACCTCAAAGCCATGGGCATCTGTGACACCCTATGTGAAGGATACGTGTATGCCTGAATTAAGTTTGCTTTTGATTGATGCAAGGAAATTGGACAAGGAGTTTTTGGAGGCTGTCTTGTGGTGGAGTAAAGTTCTGAATTGGAGTGACAGGTTTTTTATTCTTCCCTTCTACTCGATACTTCTGGTGAAAGTGCTAACACTAATTGTTGGTGAACTGCTATAATATTCTTCATAAAAGATGATACTATTACTTCTTTATTCATCTCCAGAGAATGATTGCAGATTACTTCTAAATTTTGCATGTTTATATGCAGGAGCAGTAAAGAAAATCCAGCAATAACATTGGCACTCTATAACAGATACCTGAAGCTTTCAAATTCCTGGTTGGTGAAGGAGCCAGCATCACTAGAAATCATTGAAAAGAGTACGGTTGTTCATTATGATGGGCCCAAGATTGTTTGCTCTGAATTTGGAAATGACACTATTCCAGGGCCATCTCATGGAAATTTATGGATAAATTACCTTCCTTCAATGTCAAATCAGATCTTGGGCAGCTAGAATAATTTGTACGAATCTTGTAGAAATGTAAAGCTGAATGAACATCATGTATCATGTGGCCTTAAATGTATAATCCGAGTCGAGCACAAGGTCATTGATAGCTGCCATTTATTGAAATTGCATTGTTTGTTTTTTTGAATACAGTGGGATCTATGGTTTGTGATCATTGATGTAAATTTCAGCAATGAAGATATGACTAAATTTCTATTCAATGAATTTGCGTCGCTTATGCTTAACTGAAATTCTATGTATAGGTGCAAGCAATACAGGTCATATAATAGGTATTACATTTCTTTTACTTGAGTTAAATTTGTACATGGGTTTCTTCTTCTTTAAGCGTTGTCATCTGGCATTCCAAATGAGCTTTATAGCTCAAGGTCAAGAATAGCTACAAAAATTCGTTACATAATTTCTTGTTGAAGACGGAATTGTACCGGCGTTTACCTAGTTGCATTGCTCTATTCAAATGTTCTTTGTTTATAGCTATCAATGCAATTCAGAATCTGTGAATTATGTTCGATTCGCTTGACTACTCATTACGTACCTATGCTGCCTTATATGAGTATCTTGATGATTTCCCAATGAAGGTTTTAGTTGCAAAAGTACTTGCTATCAACCCCCTTACACTCAAAGTCTCTCTTCACTTGTATTTAATTAATTGTTGATTTGTTCGGCGATTCAGCAAGCTCTAAGCAAAAGGTCCTTTCTTTTTTATCTTTTGGCTAGGCTCTATGCAAAGCTCCTTGACAGAAGCGGCATTGAATGAACCCGAATTGATATAATAACTACAAATGAATTGATCGAGAAGATGACCCTTTTTTACACTTTGACTGCTTCTCAATTCCGAATCAATTCTCTAAAAATCGCAGTCTTCTCTTTTGCCAGAAACACATTTTATGCCTTACCATCCATTTTTTGGCTTGAAATGCATAGTAAAGTTAACAATGGTTTCAAGTTTATGTAGCTGTTGAGGCCTATTACTAGTGTTGGCTCTGTGACTCATAGTTTTGCTAGTTTTATCTCTAAATTTGATTTATGGAATTTGCTATGGATCAGCATGGGCTAATAGTCATGGGATTCCCTTTTGGGGGGGTATAACAGATCAGGTGATGAGTGAAGGCAGTGTGAGATTGGATGATCATATGATTTTTCTTGTTGGCCATGCTTTTGCCTTTTTTTTTTTTTTTTCATTGTACCAATCAGTGCAGGGCAATAAAGGGCCAAGACAAAGCACCTTCTTTCTTAATAAAAAAAAAAAAAAACTTTGATGAGAAAGAAAAAATAGTTTGATAACTAAAATTCTTGAAAAAAACCAATCAACCAATTTGCTTGAAAGAGTTAAAAGATGATGAGAGAGAGAGAGAGTTGTGGGATTGATTTCTTTTGAACAATATTTGAAAAACTCAATGATAGTTAGTCAAACTCATCATGCCATTATATGTAAGATGGACACTCAACTCCCTCCCATGCTTTGCAACCTCCAAAGAGATCAAAAACAGCATATATATAAATATATATATATATATATATATGTTAACATTAAAGTTGTAGTTCAAAAAGAGTGATTAGGGCTGAGAAGAAATGATTAAAGATAGTACCCTTTTGTCCCCCTCAATTCACAAAAATAAAACTAATAGTTTTATTTCTTAATTTCACCTTTTTCCTTTACTCATATACCTTTGAAAATTAATATATTCATCACATTGCACGTGCACCACACGATCATCAAATACAAAACAAAAGACAAAATGATTACGTAAAATAAACAAAAAAAAAAAAAAAAAAAAACACACTCAAATGACAAGCTTGAGGGATGATGAGATGAGGCAAAAGACAAATTAGAGAAAATTGGGTTATTGGGATTGGTTTTGATCATGTTATTTAAAAAAAATAATAATATTTGAGTCCACAATGAGTTGAAAAAGTAGTCTTATAAACATTTTGTCGGCTAAAAACATTAGAATTTGAGGCCCCTAATCACTTTTGATTAGTGGATAAAAAATGGAAATTGGACCTAAATAATTTTGCTTAAGCATCAAGCCACTCTCTCCCAATGATGTTATTTTCCAACAAAAAATATTCCTTCTCATACGAGATCACCAAATATTGGAATGGGAAGAACAGAAAAAGGTCTGATCCCACCCAACTTTGATTATAAATCTTAGTCATTATATCAATGCATGACCTAATGACTTTGGGGATTTGTTTGATAGATGTTAATTAATAAGATCCTTCAAAGTCAGTGTCATCAAATATTTTTTTCTGATTTTGTTCATTTCAAGCTTCATGCAGGATTTTTACCGTTTGTAGTGTCTTAATTTCATGTTAGAATATTATATAATCTATTATGATATATATAGGTTTGATTCATAATTTAAATTCTTTTAAAAAAATAAAATCATAAAACCTTCAAGTTAAAATAGATAACATTTACGAAGTTTCAATCAAAAGAAAATCTGTGCCCAAAATACTTCACTACTCCTATTGTTCAGTAAATGTTGTTTCTTCTTGCTACATGCTGGGATAGAGTTACTGTCATCATTAGTTTCAATTTTACTACTAAAGTACAGAATCATATGAAGTGTCTCTATTTTTACACCAAAATGAAGAAAAAAAAAGTAATAAAAACTTCAAATTTATGGTATGACAAGAATTGTAATTTTGACCTTGCTCAAAAATGTTAAAACAACATTACTAAAACACTAGCTATACTAGAATGTTCTGTTTGAAATATCAAGCAAACCACAACAATTTATTCAACAATATAAAATCAATGAGTGGAGTGGAAAGGTGTTTGAAATGTGTTTTTTTTTTTTAAATTCTTTTGGCCTAAAAGCAATGTGAATCAATGCATTTATTTCTCATCCCAAAATCAACCTGTTCACTGGTTGAATAAACCTGTATTGGCATTACCTTGAAATGAACGGTTGCTTTGAAGGATACAACTAATCGATTATAATTTCTTTAAACATCCAATGAACCTGTAAAATTTAGAAATTAATATGCATCATTTGCAGTTTGAAAATGCAAGGTGTTAGGTGTTCTATAATCATGCAAATTGCAAACAGTCTGATTTGAAACGACACTTTTTTTATTTTTAATTTTTTTACAATTTGTTTTAAAATGAATGAATTCAATGAACATTTGGATTTCGCATGGAATTGATAGATCAACCATCAAATATGTTCCATTAAATCTTTGATATTTGTGTTGCATATATATTATCAATAATATATATATTTTTAAATGCTTTTAAGTGTTTTTATATGATTCAAAGTTTGGAATTCATGTAGTATGTATTAGTGTAAAAGAATGATGTTTGAAAGTTGATTAATAGCTTTTCTAAATGCGGAAATTCAAAAAATATGTCCATTGAAATTGTTGTTTCATTCCAAAAGTGATGATTTTTCCTCCAAATTATGGATGTTTTATGGAGAGGTATTTCAAACATTAGTTCCTTTCAAGACATTTCTACATTTAATCTCTCAAGACTCAAAGCATTCTCTCTCACTCTCTTTTTTTTTTCATTTATGTTCAAAAGATTGTTAAATTGCAATCTTATTCTCTTCGTTTAAAAATTGTATCTTGAAAACAACTTTTGCAAAAGTTCATTTGCATCATAGTGAAAAAATTATTATCGAAAGAAAGCTTCCAAGAAATGTCTTACCTAAATTTCTTCATTTTTTCTTCTTCTTTTATTTGATTGCATCAGTCAAATTCTACATACAACAACACAAGAACGTGGTGTTTGAGACTGCCAGCCTATAACCTCAACACCCATGTTAAAGTTTATGTTTGGTTTGGGAAACATTCTTTGGCCTGACAAATATGGTATCAAATCACCTAATGAGAAACTGGTTGGTAAGGGAGAGGAAATTGATAAAGGAAAAATTTAGAGATCTGTGAATTAGATTTGGACTAAAATATGCAAAAAGAATAAAGATAAAGAAAAACAGGGTCGCTGCAAAACCAAATACAGGAGTTTATGGATTTACACCAATGATGTTGACATAAAAATTTAGGTGAGAAATTTGATAACTGATAGCGGGGCCAAACTTTTGATCCCAAAGTCTCAATTGTATGCTGCCAAATTCTTCAAACGTAGCCACAAAAAGGATAACATTTGTCTTAGTTTGAATTTGGTTTATGAGTGATTTTACAGGGAATCCTATAAAACTGAAATGGAAAAAGTTTAAAGATATGCGAATAATTATATCACATTATTCACACTCATCTGTTTAATTTCCTCTTGATCCATTATTGAAAATTAATCAAGAATTGATTTATATGTTTGGCTCTAATGTTTCATTTGACAACTTGATAAGAGGGAAAACATTATGCCATAATTGCATTTTATGAGTGGATCTTTAAGAATTGATCATAAAACGATATCATAATACAATGAAAATCTCTTTCATCATGTTGTCAAATAAACCCGAAATAGGCGATAAACAATGCCTTCTAGACAATATTGAACCAATAACGACTGAGGACGTTAATGCTGTAGGAACCACACTGATTCTCCTCGCAAATTAATTGTCAGATAAAAAGCCTTCACATTTTTGTCTTTGGTCCTTCCTCCTCATGACTTTTCAGGTGTTCTAATGGCTGGATTGGATTTTTTTCACACCGCATCATATTCCATAAGACCTCAAAAACGTGAAAATTAATAAGCAGTCATGGCCTCAAACAAGAGTTAATTAGAATCTGTTCATCATTTAATACCTCACGTATGACTTCTGCCAACCTCTGACTTCCATCTAACAGACAACATTCAAAGTCTCCACTCCCAGCCTAGCTTGCCTTGTAGTCTTGTACAACATGTTCTCTCTACCTTTTAACAAAACCTAATTCATGACCTGTTTTTCACATGAATTAGATTAGATTTTACGTAGTTGGAAAATTGTAAGCATGCACGTGATAAGGTGGAAGTTATTTGAGGAACCAAAAGTGTTCAATTTCTACTAATCTGGGACCCCTTTTCTTTGAATTTGTTGCTTTAATTTTCTCCAATTCTCGTTCCCTCCCTTTCCTTTACCAACCCAAAGGAAACATTTTCTTTCCCTTCTTTTCAAAGGTAGAAGATGTGTCCTCTTTGGGTTGACTATTTTCTCAATTGCATGCCATGGTGTCTACGAAGATGATGATAATTTGCATTGAAAATATTACCAACAATTTCCATTTCTTTGACTAAAAATACCCAACTAAATTTTCCTAATCGACAATGATAACCTAAAAAGGAACAAATGAAATGATTGTTCATCTAATTACTTAAAGATTTATCATAATGAGAAGAATTTTCACTGCAGCATAACTACATTTATGATTATAATTATTGAATCAACTCATTATGAGTTTTTGTTTGTTAATAGGCGCATCTGCCTTTTCCCATTATGTTCTTTTTTTTTTTTTTCTCTTATTTTCTTCTCCTTCGCCACCTTCCTTTTTTGGTGGCATAAATGATTTGGGCATGCACCAAAAGTAGAATAAATTTGCAATTGATGTTGTTCTGCCACTACCTTTTTGGCTATTCTTAAAGGAAATAAAAAGTATTATAGAAAGTAGTATAAACAGCAAATTTAAAAGTAGGGACGTAGTGAATTAGATAAAATGGCTGCATATTGTAGATATATATAATTTGTATTTTAAGTATATAATGATTTGATTGCATCTTTATATATTAGTATAGACACCCTAATTGATTCACGCCTAAGCTCATTTAGTTCGGTTTAACAGGATCTGGGCTTAAACTCATTGGACATAGTTCAATAGGATTCAAATGGTTAGGTCTAAGTATATTTTTTGTTTTTCATTATTTATTATTTTTTGTTTAGTTTTATTTATTTATTATTTTATTTATTGTTTTGATTTATCTTTAGGTTTTTGGTAGGTGACAATAGTGATAATAAAAAAAATAATAAAAAAAATAAAATTGATAAATATTTTGCCGTTGGCAGAATTCTGGTTGGCTTTAATTTCTATGGGATAAGTATAATGATTTTATGAGTTCTTATCAAGGGTGGATTTAGAATCAATCAAAAACTCTTTCGATCATAGGCTATAATTATCCACACAAAACATAGATTAAAAGACAGACACATAGAGAGTAGAAAAGGTTAAAAACACACAAAAATCAGAGAGGTAGATCACACAAGAAAAGTAGAAGGTAGTCAAAAAAATTTTCAAAGAATTTTTAGGTTTGAAAAAAATTTTTGGAAAATTTTTGGAAAATTTTTATTTTTCGGTGAATTTTTTGGCACCGGTTGAATTTTTTGATGAGTTTTTCAACGTCGGTTGAATTTTTTAGCAAACATCCCAGAATTCAGTTGAAGATTTTGACAAGTTTGAAAATTTCGATGAATGTCCAACGAATCTCCCAGATTTCAGCAATTTTTTTTAGAATCCGATGAAGATTCAATCGAAGTTCTTTGGTTTCTAGAGAGAGAGAGAAAGAAAGGGGAAGAGAGTGAAGGGGAAGGAAAATATGAGGAAAAAATCAGAATCCGAGCTTTTATAGCCCCCTCAAAATGATATTGTTTTGGCGTTAAAATACCCCTAGGATTTGCGTATTTTCATTTGGGTGACCTGACCTGTAGCGTTGCTTGCTTTTGACCCGCGTACTATCTAATCCTTTAAGTCGAGCCGAGCCACCAAAACTGCGTCCCTTAAGCCACTTTTTGTGCCTAGAGCCAAGCCACGTCGAACCCTTCAGTCGAGTTGTTTCTATTTTTTTTGTATTTTTGTATTTATTTTATTTAAAATTTTATTTCTGTCTTTGTTTTTTTTAGATTTTTGCATGATTAAATTGGGAGAAAAAATTAAAAAAATAAAATATCTTTTGAAAATAAATAATAATTATCCAATGATGAAATTTTTAGAAATTTTAAATAGTAAATTTCTATAAAATTTCTAGATAAGGAATTTTGTCTAAATTTATCACAAATTATGAAATAATTTAGATAAAGTTTCAATAACAATAATTAATATTTATTTTCAATAAAAAAGAGAAAATAATAGAAAATAAAAATTTAGTTGAAAATATTTGATAATTATCCAAAGATGAAATTTTTAGAAATTTCAAATAGTAAATTCCTAAGAAATCTTTAGGTGAGGAGTTTTTTTAAATTTATTCCAAATTGGGAAAGAATTTAAACGAAATTTCAAGAAAAATAATTATTATATTATTTTCTTTTCGAAAACAAAAAAAATAAAAAATTTCTAAATAGGCCAAATGTTGGAAAATTTTAAAAATTTGAAAAAAAGATATTTTTAAATTGACCTAAATGGTGAATAATTTAAAAATCCAATAAAAAAATAAAAAGAATTTCAAAATAGGCCCAAATAGTGAAGATTTTAGAAATTCAAAATAGAAAATGTTTTTAATTTGATCCAAATAGTGGAATAATTAAATATATTTTTAACAAAAACCAAAAATTAAAAAAAAATCTTTCCAACGATAGAGTCTCTTCAAGAAATCAAATGAGATTCTTGAATACTCTTAAAGTGAAAAAATATTTTAAAGAATTTTTACCAGATTGATGAAAAATTTTAAGAATTATTTACAATATTTCAACATAAAAAATTTAAGGCCATTAAAATCAAGACCCTAAAATAAATTTAAAATAAAATAGTACATACTGTGAATGAGCATGTGATGGTGCTATAACTTTTTTCATATATAATCGAACTTTCGAATTTGGTTCTGGTTTTTAGATCCGAATTTATTTTTTTAAGGACTCTTAGTTAAGCTCAAGGAATCTTTAAAAGAATATATTCTTTAGGTGACCAATCACACTTAATTAAAAAAGATTAGTGACGACTCCATTTATTAAGTTTAGTTATAAATTTTTAGATCTATATGTTATAACAATTAGTACTACTACATTATATATCTATAATTATGAAAGGAAAAAAATATAAAAAAGTTTATAACAAAATGTATAAAAAATTGGAAATGTAGAGCAAAAGGGTTCATGTCATTGGAGATATTGTCTTTATGTCTACCAAAATCTAAAGGGTTTCTTAGATGGAGTCCATCTCAGATGCATGCTGACCTTTAGCTTCTTTAATACCACCCCACTCTCCCTCCCAAAACCCCCTTCCTACTCTCTCTTTCACTTTCGATCTTTCTCTCTTTTGCTGTTTTTTTTCTTCTTGTTGTTCTTCTTCACCTGCTCTTTTTTTCAATTTCTTTTGTCCTTCAGCTTCTACTAATCTAATTATGTACATCATCTCCAAGGGAAAACAAAAAATACTCAACAGATTAAAGTGGGGGTGAGCTTTTTATTTTTTATTGACAGTAATAAGTATTAAAATTATAGTGAGGGTAGTCCTAGGATTGACAGATAGACGAGTGGCAGGAATGAAGGAGAGTGGTGGAAGGAGGCTGGGTGCTCCCTCACCATGTGCAGCATGTAAACTTCTAAGGAGAAGGTGTGCCCAAGACTGTGTTTTTGCCCCTTATTTCCCAGCAGATGAGCCCCAGAAGTTTGCCAATGTGCACAAGGTGTTTGGTGCTAGCAATGTCAACAAGATGCTTCAGGTTCATTTCTACTACCATCTACTTACTACTCATTTTGTTCTCACAAACACACTTGGGGTGAGTTTGGGAGCCCCTTGCTTTTTCAGACGGTGAAAGAAAATAAGATATTAAATTATGTCACCATGATCTCATATTCATTTGGCCTTCAGGTCCATGGCTTTGATTTCGGTCCACCTCATAGAACTGAATTGTCGTTTTCCCTCCCTTTTGGGCCCTGCAAGCTGACCAATTAAGCTATCAAACTTGCAGGAGTTGCCGGTGCACCAGCGGGGCGACGCGGTCAGTAGTATGGTCTATGAGGCGAACGCTAGGGTACGTGACCCCGTTTACGGTTGTGTTGGAGCCATATCATCACTACAGCAGCAGATAGACGCCCTTCAAACCCAATTGGCCCTGGCACAGGCAGAGGTGGTTCACCTCCGGGTGAGGCAGATCGCGTCCTTCCCACATCATGGCCTACAAGCCCAAGCGGGTCACCCCTTCATCTAAGCTCATGGGTTTACAACCCAAGCCCATTTTTTTCATGGATATGATAGCGCACTAGGCTAGCTTGAGAGAGTCCATGTGGTCATGCTAGCTTAATTATGTAGATCTAGGCTACGTTTTTTGTCACCCTATGCTTAATTTCCCCTCTTAATATAATCCCTAAATCCTTTATATATGGCAATTTGAGTAGAGGAAAAAGAGAGGTGGTGGCAGCAGCGGTAGCGCTGTGGCGGCTAGGGTGGTGGTCAAGGTCATTTAGCTCAACCACTTTGGTTTGAAAAGGGTCTTGGCCATCAATTACATATATGTATATGTACATGTATAATTGAACTTTCTATATATAGTGAGTAATTTATTAATGGACTTAGGCAGCTGGTTCATGAATTTCTCCATTCTATTCTATCTAATTGATACTCATATTTTCAGCATCGGCTTAACAATTCCGTGGTGTTGGTTTACCTACCATATAATAGCATGTCAACACCCACCATTAACAAAGTTTGAAAAGGAAAGTCGATCAGCTCCAAATGTTTTATACTAGCATTACAGTAAAATAAATTTACATTTAAGTACAAGAAATTTCCCAAGACGCCTCTTTTACACAAACAATGTTCAGTCTTAAGCACTACCATATTCTTTCCCATCCCACTAGTCGTTCCATTCAATATCTGTACCCAACAAAAATAAGAAGAAACCAAATCAATACGGCCAAGTATCATACATTGGAATGCTCCAATCTTACTGGAAAAGAAAATCACATAAAACAAAAATGAAGTTAAATTTTCTGTTTTTACAATTCCCTTCCATTTTATCTCATGAATTTCACCCACTTGTTTTAGATTCTGTAAATCTAGAACATTACAGGGTATATAACAAGTTAATTTTGAATATGGTCAACATAAATTAATCTAAAAACATTAAGAAACTTTTTAGGAGAGAGAAGACAGACCTGAGGAGATTACACGTCCTTGACAACAAGGTCACCATTGATAAGCTCTCTGTAGGCAGCAACAGGCCAAATAAAGCCTCTGAAGAGCAGACTGGCAGCCAAAGGCACATCGATAATGATCTCCTTCATGGCTGGCTTCTTGTCATCACGTATAGCAATCAGGTAGCTCCTTCCAACCCACCCGATCCATCCAGCGATGTACAAGAACAACAGACCTGGTGTGATGAACTCACCCCAATGCCTCTGGTCACCGTTCACTATCAAATGAGGCAACCCATCAGAGCCACAAAGCAGCCCGTATTTCCCATAGTTGTCGAACCGTCTCTTGGTTTTCTCGATGGTTGCTTTGATAGCGAGAGCTGGTGCACTGTCGGGTGCGTAAAGCTTCAACGATGATTCGAGCTTCTTGATCTGCTGCTTTTCACGTTTGGCGAATTGCTTGGACTCTTTGCATGGTGTCAGCCCTGAAATGTCAGCAACAGCAGGCTGTGGAGCAGAAAGAAGAATGGAAGAAAGGGCAAAAGCGGCTGAGAAGGCTTGGAGTGGTGAAGCCGACTTGTCTGAGGATGGAGTGCTGGAGCATACCACCGATGATCTTGAAACTTTAGGGGTGGTGGTTACTTGGGATTTTAGCTTTGGCTTCAAAAGCGGTTTTGAGAGATTAGTTGGGATTGTAAGAGACATCTTGGGCTTGTTCTTTTTTTCTTTTTCTGGGGGGGTTTCTTTGTTGATGAAGAAAGAGAAAGACAGTGGGGAGGAGGGAGGGAGGGATAAGTTTTAGAACCTGGGAGGGAGGGAGAGACTAGTGGATGGCGGAAGGATAAGATACAGGGAGTAAGAAAGCTGAGTTGGATGGTTGCGATTGGTTGTTAAGGGGGTTTGGTTGAGTTTTAGATTCTCTCTATATCTATCTTCCTGAAAGTTTGGATAAAAGGCTTGCTACTGGTCGTCGGTTCGTGTGCTTTCCATGAGCCAGAGCTAGTGGCTACTGTTGCATTATCTCTACACGTGTTACTAACAAAACTAAAGACAACTCTTTGTTTGGGTATATGCATTCAAATTCAATAGTAGAAGGCAATTTCACATTCTATTCAACAACCAAAACAGATATATCTTCTAATCTAGGATGAAATGACCCATTTGATCGCTTCTCTAACAACCCTCCAGCTCAGATTAATGTTTACACAATTCAATAAATAATAAACCCAAGTGCAATTAGACAGAGTTAATAAAGATAAGCTAGTTCAAAAGTTACGTCTGGAAGTGCATAGCATAGTTATAGCTACTTTGGTTGATGAAATTTCTGAAATAGACGGGACTATATATATAAACATCCTTTCAGATTAATTCAAACAATTAATAACACCGAGGTAATGAAAGATCAAACCTAAGTTAACATTGGCATTTATGGGAGTTTCCTTGCAACCAAATAACTGAAAGAGGAAAATAAAATAGGAAGGCGTTCCTCAACCAAACCAAGAAAGCAGGGGAGAAAATACGACCAAGGATATGATTTTTCGGACATTGTCTATGCTTAATATCATTTTTTTTTTAATATGTACTAAATGAATTAACTGCCTCTTTAATTTCTCTTGATGCCCCTGCCATTGTGGGGACTGAAGTATCCTCGTTCCTAACATTCTTTTACAGCCAATATATGCGCCATAATAGGCATTCAAAATCAAACTAATTAAAGTACTTTTCAGCAATTATTCAGTGTCCAAAGGATAATTCTGACCATTTATGGGAGCAAAGTTCAAAAATATCACGCCCACTTTGGTAGAACACTGTACTGCCTCATAAATGATTCTCGTGTGCATGCCTTCTATGCTCTTTATCTGCATAACTACCACGACCCATTTTTGCCCGTTGTAACTTGACATGTACTCATGGCACTTCTTCACTTCCAACTGCCTGTCAGCTGTTCACCATGGGAGAAGCATCATCCAGCATTTCTCCTTCTTCGGCAGCCTCTGTTTCAAATCCCCTAGATGACTGCCCCCTTATAACAAAGTGGTTACCTTCCCCCATTTCCCCATGGTCCTTAACATGATCTTGATTCTCATTCCTAGACCAGCTCTGTCGACGTTCTCGCTTGATTTTCTCGTCTTCCACAGCCAATTCAACCCCATCCTCTAGCTCCCTCTCAATAAGATCATCTTCATCCATGACATCCTTTTTCTTCATTGTTTCCCCACGAGACTTCCTCCTTTTCTCAAGTGCAGCCTTCAGCTTATCTTTGTCAATTTTAATAGCTTCTTTAGGGGATTGGACAACTGGTCCTTCCCTAATGTCCAAGTTTCGCCCAACCACACTGCTAGCCTTACGTGATGCTCCGTCATCTCTCCACTCACCTGTTTCTGCAATTTCATTTCTTCCACCAGTTCTTTCCAGGTCTTCTCCCACAGTTTGCTCCATCCCGGACCTAGATTTATTTGAAACTTCCCTCATGTTCTCCTTCTGGGACAACTGCTCAGGATGTTGATTATCCTTGGTTTCTGTATCCATCTTGTGATCAATACCGACACTGCCCATCTCCCCACTTCCATTATCATTACTTTGATTTTGGGCAGTTCTTGATGGCATCCCATGATTTTCTGCAGATGAGTGATCAGCCGCTGACCGTGATGACATTTGTTTTTCCTCACTTCCAGAAGGATGTTTTGTTGGCGCTCGATGAGATGTACCACCAGCATTTCCTTCTAATTCACTCCCCTGAGATGGGGGTACTCTGTTTTGCTCATAAAGTTCCAGCATTTGATTGCTAACCTCTGCAAGATAAAAGACACAAAAGGGACAGCTAAGCAATCAGAGAAGCATCCATGGCATTTAATACAACATGGCAATAAGCAGACTGCCTAACAAAACCAAAGGAATTACATGAAACAGATAGTTATAATCATGTATTTGATGGATCAATTTTAAGAGAAGCAACAGCTGACAAATACTATAATCATGTATTTGATGGGTCGATTTTAAGAGAAGCAACAGCTGACAAATACTATAAGCAAGCAACCACAAGCAACATCAGTTCCAAGGGGCCATTAATAACTGTCCAAGTGTATCCACAAGATCTTATTACAAAGTTGTGGAGAGGACACCAACCCTCCAATTGGCGTGGGGTGACATCAAATTCTTGCCACCAGACCTTATCACCATCTGACGGAAGCTTCACTTTGAGGAACTTGGCAGCAAGGAAAATGGCACCTGCCGCAATATGATGGGGCTTAAATTGCAGGCAGAGAGACGTCCTCAGCCTGCAAGCCGCTTTGCAGTGTGTCAAAAAAGAACACAGGAGATCATTTTAAAAACTTGAAGAAACACACTTAAACGTACCCATCATTAACAAAATTCCATGCAACTTGGGCAAGAGCATTCTGTGCAACCTTGAATTTCTTTATAGCCTCAACAAGAGGTTTATACGGGTGATGAACATTGAGGTCAAAACCCAAAGTGGCAAGTACAACCCTCTCCCCGAGTAAAATTAGCTCCTTTTGTTGCTCATACACTTCCTGCAAGACATATTGAGGCTAATGAGTAACTCTGATAACTACAATTATGCAAACAAAAAATTTGAAAACAAAAATAATAACTAGAATAACAAGAAATGTTATATTTTAACAATAATTAAAAAAAAAAAAGTGAGGTAGCAGGAAGATATTTTACCAAGGACACAGCTGTTGGAGGAAAAGAGTGGATTCTGAGCAAAAATTTTGAGTTCAAGAGGAACAGAAGAATAAATTCTGACAGGCGGAAAGAGAACACACCACAATACTGGCAAGTTATATGTCTTTGCCAATTATTTTACAAACTGGCAATATATCACACTAATCAAAAGATTGGACAAATATTACACATGCCTAACATCTCAAAGGTGAAGTCCTCATACTGAACCATGCATAGGAATTTTAGCTTGTTAGGTTTTATAAGAAGAAAATATAGGGACAATATTATACACCTGATGAATAAGAAAATGAGTGAAAAAGATTAACTAAAAAACCACGAGAGCAAATGGAATGAAAAAAATTACATAAATGGAATGGCAAGTGAGAGCAGGTTCGAGAACAATTGCACACCCGACCTGATTTTTTTTAAAAAATTTTTTCATACCCGAACCCGACCCGAAATTAATAAAATATTTATTTTTTAAATATAAAATATTATTTTTTTAAATATAAATATTTAAATATATAATTATATAAATATATATAAATAAAAATATTAATTTAAAAAATTATTTTTATATAATATTGGGTCGGATCAGGTTTGTCTAAAACCCAAACCCGACTTCTTCTTAGCACAACCGACCCGAAACCCGATTTTCAAAGAAAAAACCCGACCCTATGGGATCGGTTCGGGTCGGAACCCTCCGGGGGCGGGTTGGGTTGCCCACCCTAGGAGCAAGTGACACTACATGGAAGAAAAGTAGCTAAAGCATCAGAAAGATGAATACAGACAAACTGGGCAAAAGCACCATTAATTTAAAGAAAACCTTCTGTTTGATCCTCTGGGCGGCAGCAGGATTTTTTTTGTGTATTATCTCATAGGAAACAAGAATGACATCCTTTAATGGACGAGGTGTCTCTTCAACCTTCCCAGCTAGGAACATACACACAGTAGCAATGGTCTGTCAAGGAAAGAAATGAAGTTAAGCACATGATCATGAAATTGTTCCCACACAATGCTCTTTCTCAATGAAATTCTCCATCAGAAATACAATGAAAGGTTAAGTTAACAAAAGAAATTATGTTTAGCTTGTATACTAATACTTTTCACAGTTTTTACCCTTCAATCATTCTAGCATGCATAACGACACAATGTCATCCAAAAGAAATCTGAACTGAATAAAAATTCATAATGAAATGGAATCAAAATACAAAGAATACTTGGATTTTAAAAAGGAATTAGTTAGTGTAAACAGATTTACCTTAAATAAAGAAGTTTTAACAAAGATTCACCAGACAATGAGAATAATAACTCACCCTTCTATCATTCTTTGCATGTGATTGCCGAATGAAGAACCGGTGACAAAAGATTATTGCTGTGGCTATTGTTACCTGGGGCCTGTATCAGGTAAGAAATTCAGTCAAATTCAATCAATCTAAGCCACATGTAATGTTAGAATTAGACAACAGACTGTCAAAACAACTCCTTTCACCCATAAGATTGTAAAAAGTAAAAGAAGAAATAATAATTACATGGTACACTTTCAGGGTTTGATCAACTCTTGATAGATCAGACTAGTCACATATGAAAAGCCCTGCTCGACTAACAAAAATTGGTTGTTGATATGGAAAACCTTTTCCAGAAATATAATGTGGCAAAGAATGACAGATATTCACACAGAAGCACACACAAACACCCAATGCACTCACACTTTTTAGTGCATGAGCAGCTTTTGCTAGAGATAAAGCACATGAGTACCAAAAGAAGGCCAAAAACGACAGAATGACATACACACACAAGCATGAGCACCGATGTGCACACTCAAGACCATCTCCTGCATCAGTCTGCTTGCAAACAATTATTCATCAAGATTCTTTCATTACAGCAGGCCATAGAGATCCAAGGATCACTTACCAAAGTTATCCTATCCAAACCAGGCAATGTTGCCTAAAATTATCAGTAGCAGCATCTATGAACATTGAACACTATTGACAGGAAAATGAAATATTATTATATTTTTAAAAACACGATTCTAACATTTAGACCATTTCTTACTTTTATAAAATTATGATTAAGTGATTTCAAGTTCTACTTTCAATGCAGATACCAGCACTGAAATGACTAGTAAGTTGTGGTAAATAACATCTAAATGTTTGAACATGGAGATATAACCATGTCAAATACAAAAATTTAAAAACCTTCTACCTAAAATAAACATTAGAAATTACCCCCATTTTTCATGCTATAAAATTTATGAAGAAATTGAATACATAAATTGATCACAGATGGGACAGACATGCATGTACAGAATTACCTTAACTTTCTATTTCCATTATAAATGATGCTTCATGTTCAGAATAGATACTAATGAAAACCAATATTCAAGTTCAACAGGACAAATCAGCCCATTCGCTGCATCCAAATGTAAACCATGAACTTACACTTTCAGCCTCATGCCCAATTCCTGCAAAAATGTACAGTATGACTTGCGCAAGTATGTCTCTTTCTTCAAGTCAATACCATCCATTCTTGATGGGGAATTTTCTTCTATTTCTTTTCTTGAAAAATACCAACGGCCTACTTCCTCTTGCTTTTCTTGAGAATTTCTAGAAGGCCCGCTATCAGATGTTGAATGATGTGAGGAATCCCCAGGTAACATCCCCGCCATATATATTTATCTCCCAACACTAGGATACCACGAACACAAGACAACTCCCTGTAGAAGGAGCAAGACTTTATTTCATCATAACCAGATTTTAGAATTATTCTGATCAGAGATATAACGACAATGTGAGATCATGTTGACATGAAGAACTAAAATTATCGTACACATGATATACCTAAAAGAAAATAAACAACAATGCCTTCACTCCAGTTTATGACCAAAAACCCATATGGATCATGTTGTAGAGACAGTTAAGGCCAACAGTTTTTGACGTCAAAACATACTGTAAAGGCATCTTTAATGATTTAATCATATTTCTAAATCAGATTCTTTTTTAGGGCATCCCAAACTTTTCCACAAATTTACTTGCCAGAAAACCATATTCTTCAACACTTATGTAGCAAAATTAAGTTAATTACAAAAAGCACAGTCTAATACCATCATTCTTTAAATATTTTCCTTTGGCACACTCCGAAAAAGAAACCTAAAATTAATTACTATAAAAAATAAAGAACACCAGAAACATTGCATTATCAGTATATAGAAATTATAGATTGAAAAGTGAAATCTGTGGACATTTAGATAATGATCATCTTGCAATTATCTGTATGCCCATTAGTTTGGAAAAGCATAATCACATAATTTGGAAAGACTAGTCAAACTTTTATAAGAATAAATCCTACTATCAGATAATTATCCATAAACAATAAAAATTTTATTAAAGTTAAAAACACTACTATAAACTTTGAAAATAATAAAAGAAAAAGAAAGAAATACTATTATCAGCACTAAAAAAACACAAATAAAAATACATGTTAAATTTCTATGAAAAATAAGGATTCACAATAGAGAGAAACTCGTCCGAATAGCATAAAAATGAGATTTTTAGTCGCAAAATAAAGGGAAAATCTATAACTGATAAAATTTTACAATTTTAGTGCTTAAAACATGGTATTTATCATGCATCATTTACAGAAAAACTTAAAAAAAAAAAAAGAAAGAGAAAAGGAAAACGCCGTATTCCAAAAACCTAGGTTACGAATAACCCACTCGAACGAGAACCAAATTCAAGGATTCAGAATTTAAAATATCCCACAAATTTCAATATTGAATTCTTGGAGCTTAAAATTCCTCGAAATTTAGATCTGAAACCCTTATCTTTCGAATAAACTAAAAAAACCATCAATTTTTTTGGCTTTTCTTTTCTATTTTTCTCTAAGATAATGAGAAGACCAAAAGCAAGCAGCAAAGACTAAAATCTATTAAATAATTTGAGAAAGAAAAAGAATAAAAAAGAGAGAAATGAAAAAAAGATAATGACCTGAGGAGGCGGAGGCGGAAGCAGGCTCCTCGCTGCTCTCTTACTGCTTGCTTCTTGCTTCTTGCTTCTTGCGTCTTTCTTTTCTTTTTTTTTTTTTTCGAGTGTGGAAAAATGGATCAGAAGCAAGTGAAGCAATTTGAGTTTTATATATTAAAATAGTTTAACAAATTTACATGATTACCCCCATTTTCTTTTGGAATATAGAGAATGTCCCACGCAAAATTAGCCTATTATAATTTACTCCTCTTATTAATAATTTTGTGATTGATGGCCAAGAAAAAGTATAATTTTGTGATAAATGATAATTATGTGTTTCCTCCAAAAAAAAAATTTTTCCTTCTAAATCAATTTATTTTATCAAAGAGGACTTTATTTATTTTTATTTTTATGTTAAAAATGTGAAATTCAAATTCAACCTTTTAAATAAAAAACCATATACCAACACTTTTTTTTATATAATATATAATCATCAAGATATGATTTTATTGTGAAAAGTAAAAAGTGACGAGATAAGAGAACTTCTTAATGAAACTCAAAAATTATTCATTGCAGCTATAATTTTTTAATGATAAAATTATTTTTTAAAAATTATTTAATTAATCTTCCTCAATTTACTTTTTTTTTTCTTTTTTCATACACCCGTTTTGAACTTCTCATAATCAAATTTATGAATATACTTATCTATAAACTTTTAAATTCATAAAATTAATTTTATTTTAAAAATTAATAATTGGAATTCAAAATTATTCAAAGTCGATAAAACAAAATTATTTAATTCTACCCTATACTTTTTAAAACAATCTAGTGAAAGATCGACTAAAACATTTATAAATGTAGACTTGATATATGAATAAAAAACATAAAGATGATATGATTTAAAATTTTAGTAAAAATTATAAATAAATTTAATAAAATCAAAAAAATATATTTCATGTTTTCATATCGATACGAAATGTAATATGTAATGTTTATGTAAAACATAATATAAATACACAAATTATTAATATTTTATATTATATAAATATATAAATTATCAGTCTAATTAAACGGATTAAAAAATATAACCATTGCGCCAAAACAGTGTTGAATTTCCATATCAGTGTTGCTATCAACCTCGATGCTCTTGACCACTACCTTACCAAGTTAAACTCCATACGCCACCCTCATTTATGTTGCTGAATCAGGCTGCATGACTTGTTAAGGTTGTTGCGAAAACACATGATTCAGAATATGTGATTTCGACACCATGTTGACCATAGAAGGAGTTTCATAACTAATTGCTGCGCTAGTGCTTGTGGTTACACCTCCTCCACGTATGATTGTTGTTGAGTGGCCCCTAGTTGTGGCCCTCTGCCATGAGTGTGAGCTTAACCCTGATAGAACATATGCCCGGCCCGTCTGCTCATATAACTGCATATTTGCCATTCTCTGTCGGGTTTCCCTCAGCTCTGCCTCAAGCCAGTTGCACAGGCCATCCCCAGCTTGTGCTGATACTGAAGATAACAAAGCTATCCTTTGCTCTGACAACACTGCTTACGCATGCTCTAGATCTCCCCGTTCAGCCACCCGTTGAGCATTTGCAATAGCTTCTGCAACAGAGAGACGGTTCCTCTGTCGATCAACCTCCAAGCACACCATCCTGTCCGTTGGAGACAAAACCTCAGGTCGTCTTATCTCAACTGTCTCACATCTCAACTGAACACCCTCTATTGTTGTTGAATCCTTGTTCGAGCACAAGACATCCAACAATGACATGTTATCCAACTTTTTCTCACCTTCAGCAAGTGATAACGCTGGAATTGATAGGTACACCAGGAATTCCTTCCCTTCATCTGCATATAAACTTCCAACATTGATGATAGCTTTCTGCCCTTGATTAAAGATTTCACTCCTGTATCTCCCAGAGGGGATTGAACCAATCTGCACTCCAGGAGAAATCGACTGTATTGTCAGTTGGACATCTTGAGCTACAACACTGAGAAGACCACCAATGCATCTTGCAAATGCATCCTGTAATATGTCAATCGACTCAATAAAGGAATATGTGCCACCTGATATATCAGCTATGGCATGCATTGCATTGGAATCATGTTCTGAGCCAAATCCAAATGTGTGGACTGGGATGCTAAGCTGTCGAGACTCATCTCCAGATGCATTATACCTGGGACAAATTGAAGCAGGCAGAAGGTAAAGATACCGCAAATTGTGCCTTGGATTTAAAGTGTGATTCTGTGCACTGTGGTATAGGCTGCAAGCATCACCATTTAATGTATCATGGCCATCAGATAAGAGGATAATGCTTGCAATGGGATTATACTCACGTCGCTTTTCAAGAACCTTAACCCCTTTCTTAAGACCTTCCACGATATTTGTGCCACCACTAGAGGAAAGGGCATTGATGGCACAGATAGCATCAACATGACCACTGTGGCACATCCTTTACAATGGCAAAATTCTTCTAGCTGATAATGAGAAAGTAACTACGGATAACCGATCTGAAGGGCCCATGTTTTGTATGATGAAGCAAACGGCACGCTGAAGAAGGGCAGGCTTGCCAGCCATGCTGCCACTAACGTCAAGCACAGCAACTAAATCTATGGGTGCACGATGAAATTGTCGAACATCAACATGAAAAGATGGAGAACGGATGCCAACAAGAATAGCAAACTTTGAAACAGCATCTAAAGCTAAGACAGCAGGAAACTCTGGCAATGCTTTGATGGTTATGGTTTGAAGACGATTGGATGACGCGGGACCTGCATGGATGGTTGGAAGAGATTCATCGTCAGAAAAGTGGTCATTTTCCAACTGAGGAAGGGCAGGTTGATGCAGATTATGCCCGAAGCCAGATACAAAAGTATCTTCAAGTGAAGCATTATGGGAGACACCCAGGCTTGGCCAATGCTGTTATGACGCCGGGAATCAGTATCATTTTCAGGTGCTTGGAAAGGGATGTCTTTCCATTCAGAGCGGCAAATGGGGCAAATGAGATTTCCATGTTTGACGTTGGTAGCAATACAATTGAAATGGAAAGGATGACAGCACTCGGCCGTGAAGATTGCCTGGCCTTCTCCCTTTTTCAAGCTTCCCAAGCAAATTGCACAAATCTTCTGAACCCAGAAAGAGAGATGAATTAGAGATAAAAGTTTAAGAATATGATGCATGGTAGTATTAACTTTACCATATAGCTAATTTCTACAACATGCACAAGGGTGACTAGTGCTTAACTTCATATGAACTTCCACAGCGTCGAAGTATCAGACCTTGGATGATTCCAGTTGGACAACATATTAAACAAAAAGCAAGCAGTCCAAAAAGAAAACGCCAACACTCTTAGAATAAAAACAATTTAATCCAATCGGATAGGAATAGACCTAACCTACAATGAATTAAATGTTTCCCTTTGATTGAAACATGGAAAAGTGGGGCATGAAAAGCTGATATGATTAGAAGGATCAACAACTTATGGTGGAATTTCAATTCATTAACATGGATTTAGGAACCGCAAAAGTTCAACATCTCCTCTTTTTTTTTTTTTTTTTTTTTTTTTGAGAGGGATTAGGGAAGCGGGCCAGTTTGATGGTGGCAAGAGGGATCGCGAAAAGAATTATAATGAGAGTACGAGACATTAGTGCAAAAATACCATTAATGCCAATAAGATACCAACCACAGAAGAACACTAAAGCTTCCATTTTTCACAAGTTGGTCACCTCTAAATTGACAGAAAATAACAGAGGCAATCTCAGCAAAGGTATCCTGCTCATGAAAAATAAAATGAAAGGAAACAAAATTCAATGCATGATTCATGCACTAGACAACTAGCAGACCCATTATTTTCAGTAGCCAAGAAATGAAAAGACAATTCAAAGTTTTTCTTCTACAAAATACAAAACAAACAGTAAAAGAATTTTTCCCAAGAAAGCGATAGCCTGAAAACAAAATCATGCATTTTGCTAAAACCAAAAGCTTTTTCGTCAATTCCATATATCTCAATCTTTTTTTTTTGGAAGATCAACTTTAAAGATAAAGGATACGCACCCAATTACTTTCTTAGTTCAAGCTTACATGCACCTAAAGACGTTGAATCAAACACTTTGGTTATATCCTAAACTTTTATCCGAATTCAAGCTGTACACTACAAAATGCTAATACCCAACCAAACCATGTTACCATTATGCTAAAATAAATTTCTATAAACATATCTAGCAAAACGTTCTTTCTTCAAACCGTAAAAAGTTGGTAAGATATGCACATTGGATTTAACGAATTCATAATTGATTATATTTTCATGGTCTTTTTGGTGAATTCAAACCAGCAAATATAACCTTGACTATATTTTTTTCAGACCAAAACTAATAAATGTGACTGATAATGTCATTCCAATAATCGATACCGTTATTTACAATAATAATATTGAAGGTTATTGCATTAACGTTTCCTAGTCGGATAAGCCATTAACTCCACAGTAGTTATAAGCAAGTGTGGCATAATCCGTAATTTACTCCCATATATAGATTGACTCTAATCACCTTTTCAAACTCCAATAACCAATCTATTTGACAAAATGTGATCAAACTGAAATCCTTCATACGTAGATTTACCCGTATACCCTTACTAGGAAAATAAAACAAGGAATAAAGAAATAGCAGGGGTAATTCAGTCAATCAGCATAAAAAACTCAATTCGGTTAGGCAAACTGAACAGCCGGTTTTTTCGCGGCAACCAAAATTCACTCCTCCGCCGGGACAAAAATAAAACAAAACTCGAGCGCCACCGGCGGTTAATTCACAGCCAAAGCGAAAAAATAAGAACAAATAAATAAATTCGAAGTGATAAAAGAAGTGAAATAAAAAAACTTACCTTAGAAGATCGGAAGCTGAAGCTGTACGAGAGGAGAGAGGAAGAGCGAGAGGCAGAGGAAGGAGAAGGCGAAGAGGCAATGCTGTTGGCCGAGAAACTGGAGGAGCCGGAGGAGGAGTGGCGTTGGTGGGTAGAGATCTTCCGAATCAGAGATTTCTTCAGCTTTTTCCATGTACTCGCCATCTCGCTTTGCTAAGACAGAAAAAAAAAAAAAAAAAGCTATTTTGAAGGGAAATATTGTCAGGAATTGGAATTACGAAACTGGCATTGTCGGCGGCGTTTGTGGATATATTATTGTTATTATTATTATTATCCAAAGAAAGAGAAAACTGAAAAGAGCGGAAGTTGAAGCAAGTGGGAGAAGGGAGTTGAAACTTAAAACGCTCTATTCAGAGAAGTTATTTCATGGTTTTCTTTTACCAACTTACGGGCATCCGTTCAAGTAGGGTTTTTTTTTTTATTTTTTCCTTTTTTTTAATTTAGATTTCTTTCAACGAGTAAGAAAGGCAAAGAGTATTATTGCAAAAGCGTAAATAGCAAAAAAAATATTAATAAAGCATAATATATATATATATATATATACATACAAAATAATAACCCATACGTTGCTGTGATTTATTATTTTTTTATCTAATATATATTACAATAATTAAAAATAACATGAATATTTTTTTATATATTTCAAATATCTCATAAATTTTAAAAGTAAAAAACTTATAATGGATAGAAGTAAAAAATATCATTTTTTTCATAATAAAAAAAACAAATAAATCTCAGTGAAATTGTGAACTAACCCACAATCCCAAATAAAATCTCTTATTCATTTCTTCTTAAAAAATAAAAGAAATTAAAAAAAATCAAAATCACTAATTTGTCGTAATTTATTACACGTTTTTTTCATTAAAATCTTTATTATTAAAGTAAAACTATAATGTAATGATAATATAATAAAAATACAATTTTTATAATTGAGAAAAGAAAAAAAATACGTGCATTGTAAGAAAGATTGCAAATGGCCAGAATAAAAAATAGATTATCAAATAATTATTAAACAAATTTGATTCCTTTTAAGATAGTAGATTTTTTTTTTTTTGTTCAAGTGGATTTTTCAAACCAAGGAAGATTGTACTATTTTCATATTTCAATAGAAGGGGAGAATTTTTTTTTTTTCAAAAAAAAATGCAAAAAATAGAAAGGAATTTGGGAAAAGATAAAGAGTTATAACCTAAAATTTGACAATCAATATTCATTTAAAATATCACTTATATGGATAAAGCAGATTTATTTTCTCCCAAGCTGTAAATTAAATTTATTGTCTCTTGAATAAAGAAACAAAATATATTTTTTTGAAATAAATGAAAGAGGAATACAAATACTAATGAGACAATAGATTAAGAATGAAAAATGAAGCATTTTTTACTAACCCTAAAGGATGAAAGACATAAAAGAGAGATAATTAAAGTTGAATGATTTGACAATTCGAAATAAATATATGGTAAGTTAATGATCTTACATGAAAAATGAAGATTGTATATGTGACGGTCCACATGTCACAATTCTAAACAACAACGAGGGATAAAAATATATATATATATATATTAGATATATATATATATATATATATTAATAAAACTAGATTGGATGCTAATTAAGTTGATTGGATTTTTTTTCTACAAATTTAATATTCAATTTCAACATTTATAATTTTTTCATATTTTTAGGTTACAACCTTTTTTATAAAAAATGTAAAGCAATAATATTATTGTATTATTAAAATAATAAATTTTATTTTAATATTTTTAAATATATTTTTTAAATTAATATTATCTATTCGTTAATATATAGTTCAAATTTGATATTTAAAAAAATTAACTTCATGAATGACCATTAAATTATAATAAAATATTTAACATGATATCTATATTTTAAAAATTTTTAATTTGGTACGTGAACTATGAATCAATATAATGTGATACTCATCTCTAATATAACTAGTTTTAAATGATGATACGTGACAAATAAATAATTCATCAAGTATCAAATTAGTTAACAAATTTATAATTTAAGTATCACATTAAAAAATTTTAAAATTTAAGTACCATATAAAATATTTTACTTTAATTTAAAAGTCATTCATGATATTATCCCTTTAAAAAAAGTAATGCGAAATGCGATTTCTGAATTTCAATTATTGATTTCTTTTTGTAAAATTTGTATTTTCTGTGCAGGTTACAGGTCCTCCATCCATGGTTTTCATTTGTTTTTCTGTAAGTATCAATTGCTCAATTGATCTTGCCCTCCAATAGGAAAAAAAAAAAAGTAATATTTTTTTTATTATGTTTAGATATTCAGCTCCGGAGAAGAGAAAGAAGTAACACAATGGGACATTGAGTTGGACACTGCTAGCTAGAAATAAGAAACTTACCCGACCATAATAAAATAAGTAACCATTTGAGGGAATTTGAATGTTTGGATTTTAATGCATTTGAAAATGATCACAATGTTTCAAATACATTTAATAATACTAGTATTTAGAATGCATAATCATATGAAAATGCTTCAAATTTCTTTAAAATGAATAAACGGATAAGATTGAAATTCCCACAGTTTCTTTGTCCTTAATACTCAATATCTTCAAACTCGAATTTAATTAAGTTAATTCACGGTTATGAATCTGATGAACTCGCTGCAACATCTCTTCTATTGTTTTAATCAAGCTTTTGCAGTTTGAAGGATTAGAAATAGCTGCAACCATTAGCTATGGCTAATTTATTTGCAGGCATCATCAAACAACTGGATCAAACTGGGTTAAGCAAAGAAAATTCACATCAAAAGTTTAAACTAAATTATGCATCAGAAAATATATTTATAGCTGCTATAAACCTTATTGATTTTACATTTGAACCCCCAACACAATATATATATGCAACAAGAGCACACAATCAATCAACTTTTCTCTACGTGGGAAAAATTTTTTTTCTAAAGGAACCCAGATATAAAATCCAATCTTGGACCTTGATGTAGTTTGGATTCTTAGGTAGCCATATCAAACATTGGCCAAGTTGTCAGGCTTGGTGTGTGGAGGAGGAGGAGATGGGAAAGAGATTGTTGCACCGGGCAGCGGAGCTGGTACCCCATAAATCTGACGGTTGGTACGGATATCTCGTCTCCCTTTATATCTTCCCAAGAAGTAACATCCAACACCAAGCAATATGCAGAAGATAATTAGTGGCAGAGAGATGACTACAACCATACCCATCTTCACTTCCAATTCTTGTTTCTTTTGTTGTCTGAAGGAGGATATGGGGAGAATATGATATGGGGAGAATATTTATGAAGAGGTTTTGCCTTTTTAAACAATCTGGAGGTTTCAGGCTTTCAGGTTCTGTCCAGGACAAGGTAGGGGATTTTAAATGTGTTTGCGGTGCTAACGGTATGCAGCTTAACGTTCAAGCCGATAACGGCTAGTTTTTTTGGGGGGCCAGATCAGAGATCCGATCCCAATGTAGGCTTTTGGCATTTCCAGCGGAGAAAAGTTAATTACTGATGGCTTTTGAGTGGGCCTTTATCAGTCATATCACTGCATTAGAGGTAAAAGTATAAATGATATGTTAGTACTCATAAGTTATTCGGATTCGATTCGATTATTATCAAGTTAAGCTCGAGTAGTTTGACTAATCAATCGAGTTAAGTTTGAGTATTCTTATATCTTACTCGAGTAGCTCGCGAGCCTAATTAAACTTTTATATTTAAATATATTTTTATTATTTTAATTAATAAAATATCTCGAATTCGAGCACAAATAATCGAGCTTTTGTCGAATATAAGAATTGACCTTATTCTTACATGCTAATCGAGCCTAGTCGAGAGAGTTCGAGTAGTTCGATTTCTATCTCGAGTCGAGTTCAAACTAAAAAAATAAAACTCGATCGAGTTCGAGTGGAGTTTCGAGCATCAAATTTCGAATCAAGCTCGAGCTCGAGCTTAATACTGTATCGACTCAAATTCGATCGATTACACCCTTAATTATAGGGTGAGAAAAAAAATTAAAAATTGAATTAAAATTGTAATTTTCAGTTTGATTCGAATCAATTTTTTTATTCGATTCAAATTAAGTTCAATATTAAATGTATATATTAAATTTGGATCAGATTTTGGGTCGGAAGATAAAAACTGAAAAAAATTTGAATTGAATTTACTTGAATTATTTATTTTTTAATTTATATATATTTTTTTAAATTTTTATAAAATAAAAATAATAATGTTATATCAAAATTTACTTAAATATATTAAAATTTTGTATTAAAATAATATATAAAAATTTAAAAACATTAAAAATCGATAAATCAAACTAAATTGAATCGATAAAATTTGGTTTGATTTCGTTTGGATCGAATAAATGTTTGGATTCAAATCAAATTTTAAAATTTCATAATATTATGCAATATCTTAAAAAATCGAACCAAATCCGATCCGAATTGAACCGTTATCACCTCTACTATATCTTTATTCTCTTAAGAATGGGATGTTTACTTGGAATTGTAATAATAAGAATTTTAGGTGAAATGTATCTTAGTCTTAGTATTATGCCTCATCCACCACAAAGGTTATCTAATAGCGTTCAATTTAGTATTAAGCAATACTTCTAAATCAAAGGTTGCAGCATATTTACCAAGAATTGTCAGTGACAAGGGTTGATATTGTGTAAAAATTTCATGCATTTCTCATCTTTTGTCATAATGCTTAAATTTAGTGATTAGACGTAATGATATTAGCATGGGATCATGGTTGTTGACGAGTGATTATAGAACAAGATTCATTTCTTGCAGTACGAAAAATTTTACAATCTTCATATGTGAAATATCCAATGCTTAGATGATATTTGATTTTGAAGAGGGAGTGACGTTGTTTAGTTGTTCATTTTTATAAAGGTAAACTTTTGTGTCAATTATTTAGTTTAAGGTATTTTTTAGTATAAAAAGTAAAATGATACTTTTTCTCATTAAAGACAATTAGCAAATAGTTATACGTATTTTTTACTTTTTAACTGAGTTAATATGTCCCCAACCTCAACTCATGGGGTTATGTCAATTCGGTCACCTCACCAGTATATCCACTAAAATTGTCTTAGGTGATGACTTTTATTCTGTGACTAGGTGATCAACATCCAACTCAACTCGATC